AGGCCCCTAGCCGATTTTTATGAGATGCAGATTACTTTTTCACTGGATTCTCAGTTGTGTGGAATGGAAAAATAATACCACCCACGGAGGTCCACAACACGGTTTGCATGCATTCCTCACCGAAGCATTATTGAAGTTTCACATGTTACACCAGATTACTTACGAAAAGATCTTCACTGTTTTTTGTTTAATCAGGCCACGTAGGCGTTTTGAGTCACAGGTGTCATGCAGTGGGGAGTGAAGTGCAACTGTGCGTGATAATGGCATCATGAAAAAGATTCCCTAGGTACCGGCGGCATATAAAAGTCATGGACCGCTAGGTTTAAGAATGCTCAGGTGAGATGAAAAGATGACCGCGTCTGCCGATTGTGCCATTCATCACTGGAATAGTTTTAAGAAGCGGGGGAGTGGGCAAAGCAAAAGGAGGGGGCGGGCTTGTATGGCTAGATATTAACCTGGTAGATCTCTCCTAAACATGCTCCATAACTTCCTGCAACCTCTTGAATTTTTCCCAATCTGCTTCAACCTCATGAATTCACAGTCTGCTTCTTGAAAGGGGTTGACCAGTTTGTTAAGACTGATAACTTGCAATCAAAGCACAAAAATCAAGTTGGAATTTTATATTCCTCTTATTATCATGGAACCCCTTTTACACTGCTAACGCCAGCAGTTCACTGAATGCAGAGAGCGTATCATAGACAGGAATGCTTTCAACCAACTGAAGAATGCTCACCAACTTATCGCACATGACTCAACAATGAATGTCCACCAATAGAAAACCTCTCGACTCAAAACTAACATGGAGAGAGCAGTGAGAGCTTGTAACAGCCTGTCAACCTCAAGGAAAGTGTCAAAGCAGAAACTTGTACAGATTGCATTTGTCAAATCAGGCTCATCAACAAGTTAAGAGGGCTTATCAGCTACAGTGTAGGTTGAGAAGGTTAATCAACTAACTTGAAAAAGGCAGAAGAAACAGTGCATATACGCATGCATATGCACGCGAAGTGTTCTTGATGAGGTGATTACATGTACCAATTCAGAGAATCATCCAAACTGAGCTAGAGCTTACCTGGAATGTAAGGCTGGCTACTTCAAATCATAGGCTTCTCTCTATGCTGTGATGTCAAAGAACTTGTCGATGGACGCTGCCACCTCCTCTTTAGTTAGCTTCATGTACTTGCCAGGGTTCTTGGTGAAGTTAATCAACATGTACCTGAGCGACAGAAAAAACATCAATACACCGGGTATACTCCATGAATTGCTGTGTTTTTTTGTGGGCCTTCTCAAGCCTTCCTCAAGTGTGTGATTTCTTAAGAATAAGGCATGTACAAGGACAACTTCAGAAATTTCTCGCCCTCTGAAGGACCTGGCGCTTTGGTTTCTCAAGGGCAATGCAATAATCCTTGATGAAAATTTCTACTGAATGATCAAATCTATCGTGACATTGCAAATCCAGCAGCCTCGTAGCTCTGGAGATGAACTATCCAGGGCAAGATATATTGGTGAGAACATAGCACATATCCTTCGTCAGAAAATTGACACAGAAATTTGGACTAACGTAAATTAGAGGCAGTTGAATTATTTCCCCATGTTTAGGTATTAAAGGGCATCATTTCATCACAAACATAAGATTTCAAAGAAAACGGGCTCATCAGGTTCATGGAGAAGGATGTAGAAAATGAACTACTCCACAGAACTGATAAATTTTTGAGACGGACCCCACAGTCGCATCTGTCATTAACAACAGACTTTTTCACACCCTCTCTTGATGCCAAGATCTTGCGCCAAATGGAAAACCGCAATCAGGATGGATCGCTTTGAGGAAGGAGGTTGTTCATGATTGAGTCAACTATCAGGTCAGTGTCAAAAAAATTCCGTGGTTCTGTTGAATAACGTTATTCTCTACGAACAGTGCAAACAATCACAAACAGATTCTTAAACAGCACTAGCACTTTATGGAAACCTACATGTACGTGTACATTGCCTGCCACTGCCATTCTCGTCACGTTGGCAATGACTTGACACTCTCTTTAAGACAGTCCTGTGTTGATCCTCCGGATTTCACTCTAAGCCTGCATTCAGCATGGCAGAAATCCAAAATCTTCCTATACTTTGAAAATGATGTGCAAGTCAATTTTTTTCCCTTCCTTTTTCTGCTCTCACCCAGAATAGCCAGCTCGGACTAGCGCAGGGCAAGTGTTGAATAATAGACAGAGAGCAGGTGGTCTGATAGTTGATACCAGTATAACGACAGAGGTTTGAAAGCACGCGCATAAAGGGGTGTGTGGGTGGAAATGACGCACTTCTATTTTCAAACGATCCCAAAACCTTAAAAAAGAAACATATTTTTCTGGCCACGTCAATGAGCTATGTAAAGATTATTACTCCATGTGGCAATTAATTCTGCTAAAAATAGTGCGCTTTGGGGGAAAGTCTGACAGTCAGCAGGTGGCAATTTTACAACAGCTGCTTGCAGAATGCAGCAGGGAACCTGCCAAATACAACCGAGGCCTTACAACTTTGCTTGACTTGTAAACACACAGAGTCTTCCTCAGCCACACCAGCTGCAGTCTCTGCTTGTCCCAATTTGTACGCATCACAGAGCCGGACCTAACTTCATAGTGTTGTTGCTCGCTGGAAACGCTTACTTAAGCAGATTTATGTGCACACATAATTCCTTATTGACTCCAACATCTACACCACACAAACTTCTTGGTCTCAGGACACCTAAACATCAGTGCAATGTAACTGACTGACTAAAATTTGGGTTACCACAACTGGGTTATGTTCAGATGACTCCTGCCACAGATCAGCCTGACCAGACTGATGACATAGGACAAATGCATGATCACGTTACAGTACTGATTGGATTGGATGGACATGCATGGACGGACTAATGCATGCGCCGACATCAGTGTCTGGGCGCATCCAGGTTTAATTTTCACACAACTGACCCCCAACACTAACTATGATTAAACCCTTGTCAATTTTCTTGATGCTCTGTGCATTCCTCAAGGCAGTACCTGCCTGAAGTCTGCTTTTTCTCTTCATTTAGCCGCGTTTTTGCCCATCAGTGGTTGGTAAAACATAAAGCTGGCAATCAGCATGACAGATAAAAAATAATGGGCAATTCCATGTAAAGGTGGACACGACCAAGGAATTTTAAAAATTGTCTTGCATGACTGAATTTGATATCAAATTAAAGCTAAATGTCTAGACCTTCCAGAAACAGCGACTATTTAGCAGAAAACAGGTGTTCTCACGATTCTCATGCATAATTAATTAGCATGGAAGATTTTCTGTTATTGTTAGGGAGCATACTGCAAGGTGTCTTTACAACAGCACTAATGAAATTAATTTCTGAATTCCGTATTGTTATCATGTTAATGACATATACTGACCACATATCAAGCCCATTTATGATTTCAATTACGTATCTCACTTTAACGGCCAGGTAATAAAAATTGTCTCGTTATGTCACGGCGTTACCCAAAATATGACATTTTTCCATTTTATTTAAGATGTATCCACAAAAATCTAGAAAATATTATTCACAGTGCAAATTACACACCCACAGGCATCTAAGTAGTAATATTGGTCTTTATTTATTAATTATAGCAATTAAATTATGTCACGGCGTTACTTTTTTGGTAACGCCATGACTGGAATTCCATTTGTGTAGGCCTTCTGTAGGTACAGTAGGTATGTTATGTTGGTGTAATGGAATTCCAAGTGACTCACCATTGCACCACAGCCCATTAGGACTGTTTATAACTCCAAACAATGGATAACAGGGAATGCTACCACTTCGCAGTGCCGATTCCAGAGGCAAAACAACTACACCATGGTCCGAACACGACTGCATCTACTGTCCTCATCTTCCTATAGATTACCCGGGGTGGCAAATGCCTTGCTGAACTTAACAATAATACAAGTTTCTGACTTTTACTGCCAAAAGGGCTAAACCGGATGCCCCATCGTGCCCACACATCAGTGAAATTAATCAAACCGCGAAGAAGGCGTGAAGCTAGAAGAGAGGAGGTCAATATCTACCGGTACATGAAACTTGAATACTGTTATTCAATTTCCTGGAGGATTTACTTATATCTTGATGAGGTTGGTTTTTGGGCCAGAAACCCCCCAGACGCCCCCCACTATGGTAGTGAAAAATACTAATAATGTATTGAACATGTAGCTGCATGTAAATAGTTTATCATGAACAACTGCTGATGGCATTTTTGACGAAGTGGCTGTAGGAGGTCTACAGTTTTTGTCAATTAAAGGTCAAATGTATTTACTTGTTTTACACAAATTTTAAAATATCCCGTATTTGATTATACCCTAACTTTACGTGAACAGATATCACCCTGAAGATTGGTACTGTAACTTGTCTGACATGCAGGTGCATGTATGTGAGCTCAAGCCATAAAATAAGTTCCCAATGCATCAGAGAATCACTGTAAGAGAAGCTAGATACAATGCTAACTACAATTAGGTACCTCACAGGTCCCACATAGCACCTGGGCAGGGATGTACCATACCCTAAGGGTACACCAGAAAGCTGAGCAGCCTCATCAGGATTCGTGATCTCTCAATCCAAGTTTCAAAGTCCACCAGAGCACTACTGTCTGAGCAAATCCAATCTCATTGAAAATCTAAACCTGACATCCACCACAGAAAAAAATTTTACTTTCTCCCTTTAATAGATCTAAATTATTCCTTATTGATGAACTGGAACAATGTGATGAGTTCCACTGATATTATTTCCCCATATCTTAATTGACATATTGATTTTTACATGCACGTGCCATTGGGCTAAGGCTTTGGTCACGGCCTTAGCGGTCACAGCGTTACTGTACATAATTTTTTCATGATGTCATATTTCTCATGAACATAATTTTTATTTCCATTTCTTATAGTGTTATTGTAGTTGACTGTCTGCTAAGTGCATCTTGTGTGAAGCAACTGCAAAATACACCTTAACTTCACAGAGTTTTAACAATAAGTGAACAGCTAAGAATCTGATGTCCTTTTCAGTGTAACGGCATTACCATACTAATTAATATTCATAACTTGATACTTTATGCAGTTTTTGCATAATTTTTTTTTCCAGTTGAAATTGATAATAGCTGTAGTAAAACTGTAAGAAACTTTGTTTCCAAAATTGGAGGTGTTACCCATTATTTGCACTTGAAAGGTGAATTTTGCTACTGATGTGTCACAGCGTTACCTTGGAAGCTCCCTAGTGCACTAAGTTTTTTAAAAATCACAGGTAGGCCTACTACACGTAAACCACCTCATGATACACCGTATTACACTAAATGAAACTACAACTCTCTTTCCGAGTAAGGGGATAGAATGTGCATTGTACATTTTGAAGTTAAAATCAGATGCCAACCAAAGCAATGTTTCTGCGAATTTAACAGCCCATACATGAACAAGGAACAGGCAAATATGAGAGCACTGTACTGGACGGATGATCATGACATGTTTGGTTTATTTATGGTTCGCCGTTATTTTCCCTCCAACTATTTCTACAAATTGGACTGCCATAATATCTCCAAAATCCACCAAGTATTGTTTTGCACCCCCCCATTTGACTGCATACATGGACATTTTATTCTCTTCTAATCTGCTCCAAAGTTTTCCCCCCAAAAACTGACATCTCTTCCCTAGTCTCTTCTAATTCGTTATCAAGGATTTGCACAGTAGCCATCTTGCAGGGCAGTGTTTCTGTTCTACAGGGAAACCTCGTTTGTGCATACCCTATGGTACAAAACAAAATGGCCTGCAAGATGGCAACCATGTAAACCCTCTATTGGCATCTGCAGGCGGTGAACAGTCAGTGGTGGATCTAGTGTAAATAGGGGTGCGGTGTTGGGGGTTTACAAAAGGGGAGGGGGCCGAGAGAAGGTGAAACACATGCCACATTTGTTCTTATCTTGGTGAAAAATATCTGTCTTTGATGACATCAGAAGATTCAACAATTAAGAAAGATTAGCTTGTATCCTAAAAAGGGGAATGGAGGACACACCGGTTACACACCCCAATCTTTCCTTTGTATTCACTACTGCTGGTGAAGCAATGGTTACAGAGGCATAATCTCCCGTGAGATGTTCCCACTGCGTTTCCCGTGTTTCTAGTAGAACATGAATTACAATTTACCTTAGGCTGATACTAAAATGACAGGGATGAATGACCACAAAGGCACGCTTGGTTTCATGCACAGTTTGCTGTGACTGATGACCTGACCTGACACTGGATTATTTGGAATGAATTGTGCAGATATGGTGACCATTTTGTTAACATCAGACTGAACAAATTCGAACACAACGAACTGAAACACATCTGGCATCACTGCCCAACTGGGTCAAACAGTGTTTATCAAACTTTCCGAAGTTAATGGCAGGAATCCCATCGTTACACCTCCCCGTCACTCTGATAAACTACTGTTGGCTATCTCCAGAACAGGTTAGAAATGAATGAATATGATGCATAAATAACTTATAGAGAACTCTTTGAACAGGATGAGCCAGCTTTTTGGCTTTTAAGATGAACATCTTATGTGCAACCAACCAAACAAAAGAGAACCAAACTTAAGAGAAGGGGCTGTAATAGATACAAGACACGTTAAAAGTCAAACTTTTATTTGAGAGACGACAAAATCAGCAGGCAGCTCTTTCTGACTAGTGACTGCGAATGTCTGTACCCATAATCGCCCTAAGCATGCACAGAAAACCCTTTCTGTGGGGAAAATAATTCAAATGGTAACAGAATTTTGTACATGAGAAACTAGGGCACTTCTTGAACTTGGACAAAATGCTCGCTGGACGCGGAACGTTGATTTGTGCCAAACTCGGCCGGGGATTGTGCAGCAAAAATCTGTCACTTAAACTCTCTGGAAAAGGGCAAACAGAGATTCGCACACCTGACATACAATGTATGAGTGCCGTGCATTTGGCTTATCCTTCTCTCTTCCCCATGAGCAAGATTGAGAGCGGCTAGGACTCTCGTCAGAAGCCTTGAAAAGCCTGGCTGAGTTTAATGAGGGGCGATGCTAAACATCGCAGAGCAGGGCAAAATGCAGATTGGAAATGTCAACACTGATCCGGTTTCTTATCAAATGTCGCGGACGACTCGAATTGAGACAGAGAACATCACAGGGGGAGGGAGACGGGTTGGATTTCATCAGCGGGAGCTCATCGTGAGGCCTTCATCCGAATAATGACAACTGGTCTGAGGGTACTACCACCCATATCGGGAAATGAGGAAGATAAACTGTGAGCTACTCTGTCAACGTCAGAGCTAAGTCACGGATAAGGGCCACTTTTAAAGAAAACACCCAGTGAATATCAGAGAAGGATAGGAAATGAAAAACAAGTGGATTTTTAAATTCCGAGAAATTTGAAGCCAACTAGAACTACAGACATGTAATGTATTTCAACACCACTGTTGACAATTCAGGAATGATTTGTGCTTAATACTTCTTTTTTGTACTGAAACATTCATGAGGCCATCTAAGCCACTTGAGTGTATACCACTGGAGGCTGCCATGTTGGCACAGCTTTGTAAAATGCAATAACCAAGCTTGCCCTCAAAAAGACCCAATTTTGGCAGGATTAATTCACACTAAAGTGTCGTACCCATGGACACAAACGACCACACGACATGGGCTGAACTTGAAACCCATAACACGCTGTATTACCTGCATGTACTCTTCAGTCCCCTATACAGAGATCACGGAATTCCATGCTGTTCCTTTTACGGGTACAGCGAAACACTGGCAAAGTGTGGGACCAACCGAACAACTGACCAACCAACTCGGGCACAGACAAGCATGACATGCGCATCCAGCTAGTTGGCATGGCAACCCAAACAGCACACAGAGGCAACGCAGAGTTTTTGGGAGGCCATAGTTTGCATGTGATTTTTGCATGTTGATTTTTGGCGAATAGGAGATGTAAAGAGTGCATTTAATCTTTATGTAATCCCAAGTCTGAGAGAAGACTGGATCCCAAAAAATCGTTCGTCTCTGGTAAGTGCAAGCGTCGATTTCAAGCTTACGTGTCAATCTTTTTTTCTCTCCGAAAGTTAGTTAGCATTACAAAGAGCGAACTGAGCTCTCTTTGTTTTGATACATCACTCAGTTGGCATCCTAATGACAATGGACACCATGTAAGTGAAAGATTTTGCTTGATTACTGATTTCGATTTTGCAAGATTCATTCTTAGGGCCTCGAACTCAAAAGTGGCTCTGGCAACTTGTTCTTGGGTTGGGCGACAGAGGTACTTTGCAGACAGAGGGTTACTGCATGCGCAAGGGGAATATCATTTTCCAGACAGAGTAAAATAAATATCAATCGTGTTTGATAATAAAGCGTCATGCTCCGTAGAATTCCAAATATCAAATCCACCACTGCCTGGCGTTTTCAAGCGGCCAATACTTGCCTCCTGATTCTTGTTTCATTTAAGAACCTCTCTGAGCATGGAAAAATGTTTGCTTTTCCGGCGTGGGCCAAAGTACACTGTACTTCCACGGATGGAAACTGATGACAGACAGATGTTGAAATCAACACCGCCTCAGAATATGATAAGCTGGGAAACACGGGTTTTGACTGGACACATACGGAGTGGAGAATGATCGGAGAAAACATGAGGGACGCCTTGATTTGAGGGAATGGCAGAGGATGGCGATGTTAGATGGCATTAAAGATTAATTGTGGAATGGAAAATAAGTCAAGTACAATTGAGGGGAAACAACAAAAAAAGCTGAGGCCAATTTTCAAAAAGTCTCCTTTGAATTACTGCAGAGGATCACACACATTTTAATGACCAGAAAAGTCTGATAAATACTAACACATCTATGACATAATCTAGGTTTTTTTTTGACCAGGCAGGTTACCAATCGGATGACAAGAATCTTTCAAGTGCTGTATACAACAAATAATGATTTACGTTCGTGCAATGGAAAGAATTATTTCATTTGGAGAGAGATGGAAAGTTCACCATCTGTCACCTCATGAAATCACTCTGACCACTGCACTCACGAGCATCTGTTAGTTGTACAATGACCTCAGCACAGAGGTGGAAAGGCGTGTGCATCAGAAACCAACCACAGGTCTGGTGACCTGACTGGTTGGCATACATTACATGTACCGGTACATGCACCTGGTCTGCACACTGACAGCCAGCTATCTTAGAGGGAATAAATGCATCCAGCTACCGTACACTGCGGCTTTTGGTAGCACAACGTACATGAACATGTATGCTGTACTGATCCCACTGGCAAAAAGGGGGGGGGGTCACAGTAGGGGGACCAGTGGCCCACCCCCTTACTTTTTAAATGGGGGGGGACATGACTCCCACTTTTTAAATGGGGGGGGGACATGACTCCCACTTTTTAAATGGGGGGACATGACTCCCACTTTTTAAATGGGGGGGACATGATTCCCACTTTTTAAATGGGGGGGACATGACTCCCACTTTTTAAACTGGGTGACATGCCCCCCTCCCCACTTTTTGCATGTCCTATGATTGGGTGGGGCTTAATGGATCAGCCTATTAGTGGCTGATGCCTGATGGTCTCATAACTGGCTCTCCCACTTTGAAAGTCATTCCACCGCCAGTGATCGATCCTACTTTGCAACAAATGATATTTTATACAAAGAGCCATTAAGGAGACAAGCTAGGGGAAAAACTAGCTGTACTGTCATCACAGAGCTTTTTTTTTTTCAGTGAATGTACCGCTATGGTGACATAACCGACAGGTGTCTGCCAGTGCCTTGGGCCATCAGTGCGGAAAATGACAAATCCACTCAAGGGGGACCTCTCAACCGTGAGCTCATTATCATGCAACACCGATTTCAATGGCAATGTTCTTCCAGTCACCTGGCTACACCCGGCAGGTGATGGCGCGTCCACTAGTTAACCAGCCGAGTCTACTTCAAACAGACATGTCTGAACTGCCAGTCACCAAAACTGTCTTTCAGACAGAGGCTCAGATAAGCACTGATGATACATCTTTCTGTCAGCACAAAAGCGTACCTCTGTGGAGCGACGCTTTACATAAAGATCAGTGTTGTAGTCAAAGCCGCTTCAGACCATCACAGGACCCTACAAGACTTTGTTTGACCTTGTGACGGTCTTGACTACGACACAACATTTTGTCGTTCAACTGTACAGCATTTCTTGTTTGTTGATTTGTAAATATATTCCAGGAAATCAAGTCAATTAAAAAAAGGGCAAATTTTCTGTAACGTGAAGCACTGGCATTACACTTACTTGTCCCTGAAGACTTGGTACGGTTGAACAATGAGTTTCTTGTTCTCCTCACGCAAGGCCGTTCGCAGCTCAGCATGGGGTATGGCATAACTTTTCTGGGTCTTGTACAACTCCTCAAAATCTTGGTTGAAACCCTGGGAAAGAGGAGGAAGTATTTATATGCACTAGTCTATCAGATGCAAGGTATAACAAAATTAACAATGAACACTGAAGAAAAACACATTTGATAATGTCTATGTGTTTTCAATTTTTGGATTGCTTTAGTTTTTGAGAGTTTGGGGAAATTATGATGAAGTGAAACAGATGGAAAATGCTGGTAGGATGTTATATAATGGGAACATTTACCCAACTGCATGAATCAGGAACAGTAAAGTAATCATTATAGCTTCTGGTTTTTTTTTCTGCATTTGATAAATTCACGAATCAGAATGGAAACTTGCGTCCTATGAAACTCGGTATATGAGTATAAATTCTGTGTTTCACATCTGGACAATACACTTTTTCCTCCCTATGAAAGACTGGACAATTGCTGGCTAATGCTCTCTTAGGAGACATACTTGAACACTGTATTGTGACACGGAAAATAATATCAGCAAAAAGGGATCATCTCACATTTTTAAAGAAGCCTTGAGATATTCTGAACAGTAGTATGGTGCTCTACCTTTTTTCCCTTTGTCAAATAAACTTTCAAAATGGAACCAAACCAACGCTGTACAATTTGTAAATGCCGGTGTTTGGTCGTGTGGATGAAGCTGTTATGCATGATCATGCGGTGGTGGAATGGCATGGTAACGGCCTGCATTTTTCATGCCAACAATGCTCTCTCAAAGTGCAAATAGCCTAGGACACATCCCTGTGCATGGCTCATTCATGTCACCATCTCAGTAATACGGCTCTTTATCTAGCTACTCCACTCATAATTTACACAACAAATGTACGTGCCATGAATTTAAAAAATTGAAAGAAATTTTTTGTTAGTGAGTCTGTTATCGACAGCGTAAAAGATCTAATACACTTTCAAATTATAAGAATGGGCAAAATTTTAAAGCTTAAAACCGATGATCATAAACATTGCGATTTTTTTGCTGTGGCCCTGATTTTAACCCTTTAAACAAAAGGTAAATTTGTTCAGGACTGAACACAAATCCCCAGGGATCACTGCTGCATCAACATTCCAATAAATTGTTGGAAAACTCTGTCAATATTGACTGAACGCTGAACTGCAGGACTTAAGTTTTTATATACGACTGGTTTGGAGACCAAATGTCAATATTGATGAGGTACCTGGGAAATTTATTCTTGGAGCACATATCAGGCTGTTGAAGATTAAACAGGCCAAAAACCTAAACAGGACTGCCAGAATATCTATCCTAGTGTTTTTTCCCTTTTTTTATTTTAGTTGGGGGGGAGCAAGTGATTCCATATGCCTTCCCCCATGATGCCCATAGTTGGGGTTGGAATATACAAGTCATGGGTTCAAACCCAGACCAAGGAAAGTGCAACTTGTATATTAACACGCAGTTCAGGAAGGGACTCAATAGGGACCGACTGATTGCTGTGAACCAGGTAGGAGGACCGTGCATATGCATCGTCTCCTACACACCGTCTTTCATTAGGCATGTGAGGTGCACGCACTGCTGACCGCAAGATGCACGCACCATCTGGCCCAATCAAACATGATGAATTCCGAGGCCCTTAATGAGCTGCAACATGGAAGGAGAGGGCTTAGTGGGATGCTGTTTGGGAGGTTTCAGGGTCTCGGGACAAATGATCCCCGTCTGAGGCTGCCTTGACAGACCAACTCCTTAGGCAAGACGGTGGAGGCACGACCAGTCTACTCATGCATATCACAACTCCTATGTGCTGAGACAGTGTCCAGTCCTCAAGGAGGGCATTCATGTTTTAAAAACGTATCTTACGACCACTGATAAGTCCATCAACTTCAAAACTAAACAAACCAAACAGCAAAATAATGGCTCTTAAACGCAAACCACACACCCAAATACATGGTAATGGAGCAATCTTTCCTTTTAATAAATTTATGACTTCCTGGTGGCAGTCCTCAATGAAAGAAGAATTTTTGAAAAGGTCGATTCACACTCTCAGTCACAAAAAACGCTCACGTGAATAAAAGATGTCAGGTCAAGTATAGATTTCATAATATTTGCCTTTACTTTGCTTTCATGTTTTTGAAAAAAAAAAAACCAACATCTTCATGTTCACAAGCCCACTCTAAAGCAGCAATTTAGGGAGAAAGGCAAAGAGAACAATGGCATCCACAGTCTCTACTCCTTCATGTGAATGGTTCCCAACCTTCTACGTAAAAAAGGGGAAGGGGTGATGACAGATTTGTACTTAAAAAGCATTTTCAAATGATGTAAGTTAGGATACAAATTCAGGGACTGCAGGGATTGTCGGTGTACCCAACGGCTCAACTCAGTTTGATGCAAGAACGTGTGTCTGAACAACATCATTCCCACATAAAGTGAATGAACTACAGAAATGGAAAAACCAATGAATCGCACACGAGCTACGTCTGCACTGCCTGAAGTGCTGCGTGCATGAACAGAAACAAAATCAAATTAGGAAAAAAGAAAGAAATCCTTTTCGTGGTTTGTTCCCCGACAGCAGCGACTCTAAGCGGCTCGGGTAAGTCTGCCAAAGAAAATAGCGAATACAAGGGATATGCGATGCTGCTGCTGCCGTGTTGCTACAGGTCTCATTTGGGGCATGATTAAAGAGATGAGGAAGAATCCACGAAGCATCCAGCAGTGGGCTCATAACAGTGACAACCACCAAGTACCATACCATTTCAAAGCTATGTGATTGCATGTTGCATACGTGTAGCCAACGAGGCAGGAGTTTGTGCCAAATAGCCAGAACGATGCCACTTAGCACTTGGGTTTTTTCACAAAGTGAGAAGAGGGAGATACAACCTGAAATGTTCAACCTCTTTAAATCTTGAATTTTTGGGTCAAAAATCCAGACATCTGGGGAAAATGCAGAGATATTACACCATGCTTGAGCGATCTTGCATTTGACAACACAAGGAAGGTGGCTTCTGGCCATATGGTTACATGTATATGTGTGTACATGTATATTCATTAAAAACAATGACCCGAATATGTACTAGTTATAATAGGCTTCCTCCAGGTTCATCTTACTTTGGCTACGTAAGGCTCAAAATAGCTACAGGACCACTGGACCGAGTCTGGCAATATAAACACAAGCCCAAACCTTTCAATGACTGAACTGGTTCATTGGTCTCACAGTTTTTCAGACTGTTAATCACTGTTGGCGACGTCAAATACGTCATTAGTGGTCAAAGCTAATCAAGTCTAATATTTATCTTCAAGGATTAATATTCATTTTTAGCACTTTTTTGTAACAATGAGAAGTAATGCTATTTGATAATCTTACAATTTAACTTAAACTTTATGGTTAAAAACAAATACCCTTTTTGAAAATTGCTGCTCGTGCAGAAATATTTTCTGGGTCTGGTGGAAATGTGGGAGATGTAGCCCAGTAGACAAATACATTTGATGAGAGAGGCAAGCTCTGCCAGGTAAGAGCAATGCCAGAATCTACAAGATGAAACACTGAAGCACTCTTGCATCCTGCGAGCATTCTTTAAGTGAAATATTCTCAGGTGATGGCTCATGAAGCTTTTTTTTTTAATATCTAAGCTTGTACACAGTGATAGAAAGCTAGTTGCAAAAAATTCGACTTCTTGGCTGAAGTGAATTGACAACATTAAAGCGATTCCAACTGTAAATATTTTCCAACCTTTTATCGAGATCTTTTGCGACTACTGATAGACACTATTTTTAGGCAGTGACACTTGTTTCGTCTTTAAGGAACCCTTCAAGGTGGTTTCCCCTTGACCGTAAACACACAGCTGCATGACACGGACAGCTGATCGGCCAAGCGTTATGGTCACCAAAAGATCCAGCCGTGCCCGAAATGCAATATGCCCAGTTTCAGTCTTTCATCTGGGACGAAGGACAATATTAAACCTGCAGATCGGGTGACCATGGTTACATCGGACACCTGCGGGGGGGGGGTGTCGTTAGGACATCTTCCATGCAATCTAATTACGTCCTGTTTACTTGAGCTGACATCCTGTTTGGGTCTCCTTCCTTGGGTGGTAAATGATAGAGGTAAGTGCAACTCTGCTCAAGCAGAAAATAAGAGGGTTCTGAGAAGTCCCGTCCAATCCCAACACAGAAAGATAAGAGGGTAAACATTAATCTGCTCCCTAGCTAACTCAATTTGAGTCGCACACAGCACATTGGTTGTTAAACATTCAACTCGGCTTTCTGTCTGAAGGACGTAGCCCCCTTAATGCCTTTTCCACTGCAGTGGATAATAAATCACACTTGAGTAACAACCACACTGAGACCTTGAGTGTAAAAAAAAACACAAACCAAAAGAGCATGGCAAAATATGCTTAAAAGCCAGTAAAATACTTCAAAATTTCCAAACACCCTGGCCGAGATGTTTACATGAGGTCGTCAACATTTCACAGCCCAAGTGTGGCTTCGATTCAAATTTTAAAATACAATTTCTTTCGGCTTTTGCAGTGATAAGCGAGGCCAGGTGCTCAAAGAACATAAGGCAAAATACAAAAATAGAACAAGAGAGAGAAAGTGTAAGACTAGACTCTAAAACTGACAACGTAATTGTAGTTTGGTCGCATGACACCAGAGCGGTCTTTTAGGACACCCATTACTTCTGGAAATGGATGAAGAATTAAAACAAACTTTACAAAGAGGGAACTAAAATTTCACTTGTTAAAAAGTCCCTTTTTATGTTTTCGTTTTATGGCAGCAAAAAGACAGCATCTTAGAATTTCAATATTTTTTCATTTCATTGTTAGAAGCTTATAAAGACAAAGGTGGGAAAACAGGCACACAAAAAATTCCCTCCATCTTGGGAAAACAGGAGCACAGACAATTCCCTCCATCTTGGGAAAAAAGGCACACAAAAAATTCCCTCCATCTTGGGAAAACAGGCACACAAAAAATTCCCTCCATCTTGGGAAAACAAGAGCACAAAACTGTTCCCTCCATCTTGGGAAAACAGGAGCACAAAACAGTTCCCTCCATCTTGGGAAAACAGGAGCACAAAACAGTTCCCTCCATCTCGGGAAAACAGGCACACAAAAAATTCCCTCCATCTTGGGAAAACAGGAGCACAGACAATTCACTCCATCATGGGAAAACAGGCACACAAAAATTCCCTCCATCTTCGAAGATGGAGGGAATTGTTTGTGCTCCTGTTCTCCCACCTTTGTCTTTATAATCAGTCATTTCAATGGTCCCCCTCCCCCGGCCAGACCTTACAAAAGTAGTCATGAAAAACCTGGTGCAGTGACAATGGGTGCTTGCCCATCCCCCAAAGTAAAAAGAAAATACATGGGCGCCATGGTGTTTAAGCGAGTAAAAGGTCTCAATGAAAAAATTTGGTGCAAATTACTGGATGAGTAACAGCTCCTGTGTGGTGAAAGAATGGTTAGTATTTGAATTGAATTAGAAAAATGGGTTAGCAAAAAAAAAAAACCAGTGAATACATCTTCTATTTGATGAATTGGAGGAATCAAAATGGCCGTCATTTGGAGGTTTTCCTGGTAAGCGATTATCAGCTTAACCATCAAAGGGCAAAACATGACGTATTTATAAAGCCAAGACTGAAAAAAATATATATTTCCAAGTTAAAAATAGGATCCAATGCATGCATTTAAAACTGACCAATAATGGTAAACCTCTTGGTCACATGACTAGCAGCTAGTAAGGCTGCATCACCACAATTCTCATCTGATTTTTCCCTGCTTGCTTCAGTTCTAAAAACTCATGAGCAAAAGAAAATATTTTGCCATTTGAGGTAGAATAATATCGAGGGGGGCATGGAAGTGCGGATGAATATGTATGCGGCAATTGATTTGCGTACTGGCGTGGGGAGGGGAGGTGTTTTGAAGGCGGCCAGGCAAGGTGACCTGTGATGGTGTGACCTCTTCACCTCTGACCTTGAATATGTCCTTGATCATCTGCCGCTCCTTTTTGTCCTTCACCTTATAAGTAAATTGTTCCTGGCAGGTGGAGTCGTAAATCACAAATTAGAAGGGTTACAAAGCAACACAAGCCAACTCATCCTCAAGTTGCCACTTGCATTTTTTTCCCGTATTGTAATATAAGGCAGTTTTGGTAATCATTCAATGCAAGTGATTATGTGCACAAATCGTGGCGAAAAAGATCTAAATCTAACAAAGATGGGGACTCTTGGGTACGATCCTGCTATAAGGTAGATTGCAGGCATGCAACTTGGACTTCGACAAAAACAAGGAAATTTCAATCTTTACAAGACTTTGTACAGTGGTTTTCAAGTTTCAATGGCATGAATGTGAAGTGAAAAACGAGGAAATCAACTGATCCGAGGAAAAGTTGCATGCCTGAGATTGTCATACTGATATCTATCATAGAGTAAAAGACAAGCGGCCCAAGGATATTTGAAGATCCAGCCACTAATGACATTCTTTGCGGCATCAGGAATACTATGATTCCCGTCTCCCCTTCAAACACTTCTTGAGAAATGTTAGTGCAGAAATAAAAGAGGGAAAGGCATGGATGAACACCCAGCCCCTCAAGAAAAGCCCAGAAGTGAGTCTGAGAGAGTCTCACAATTAAAACTATGTGGAAGACTATGCCTTCTCCACTGTGCAATGTTATAAATTTCTTAGGCGGTTTTGAGTAACTTCATAACGTTTGAGAAGGGAGACAACGAGAGCCTAGCTCTCCTCTTGGAAAGCAGAAGAGTGAATCTGGAAAAACTTCGCACAAACAGACACTCTAAGGAAGAGAGTGCATTCTCCACACCACAATGTTAAAACATCTTTATTAGCATTTTCACAGAAAGTTGTGAGATTGGAGACAAGCAATGAAGTCTGAAGAGAAAAAGAAGTGACTTTTACCATCCAAAAAAAAAAAAAAAATTAGCAAAACCGTACCACACATGCCATATCTCCTAGTCTCCTTGAACGGTAAAAATGCCCGTCTCACCTTAAATTTGTCTTTGATCTGCTGTCGCTCTTTATCCTTCAGCTTGGCAGCTTCTTGGGCCATGCGCTGAGATGACATGGGCTTGTTGACCTCCAAGATGTGGGACAGGACTTTGTTCCAGCTGTGACAGAAAAAAGTTGTTTTAAAAAAAAGTTACCGGCTAATACATGTGTCTGCACTCAGAGGTGAACACTGCAGTGGCATCAGTCCAAGACAGGTGGTATGCACATGCTGCATGCCTCTTCTACCAATAGACAAATCCGATGACCAGGATTAGAAGCCATTACTGACACACCATCCTGTTGACAAGCAGGTTGTGAGTGCGCGCTACATTTCTTTCAGACCAATGTTGTGACTTTTCTCCCCTACAAACCTCTTGGAGTACTCCTTCTTCTGATCTCTGATGACATCAGCGTAGTGCGACTCAATGTCTGGTGTGCTGACGAGGACCAGCTTCATCAATTCGGACCTGCAGCACGAAACGGGGAACCAGGAACAGATACAGTGGAGCACAGTAACCCAGTGATGTTAGTTTTGAGAAGTGGTTCATTGCCACATTTGCACCACTGGCCAATTTCGTGGAGTCGTCGTGAACAGAAATCTGCTCAGCAAAGATAAATACTTACCAGCCGATATGGTATGCCAATGTTTGCCACTCATGACTGGCGCTTCAGGCATATTTCAGTAAACAGTCCATTTTTAGTTACCGCAATATTAGTAAAATGTAAACTTTGGTTTTTGTTTGGCATTCCAAAGTGTTAAACTTCAATTTGGAAACGAAACTGTTTAGACATCAAAAATGAAAAAGAGGCCTTTAAAGTTTGAATTTAATGAAAAAAAAATACCCTGGCAATGAAACGTGAGTTGAATCTGTCTACAGAACACTTTAACCCTAACTCTCCTCAATCCTCCAAAATCCTTTGGCCGGTTTTGGAGGATTTGGAGGATTGAGGTGAATGGCAAAAGTGCATGGCTGATTACAAAGGATGCCATGAGTGAAGGTCGTGGGTTTTAGACCTTGTGATATTCCTGCTCAGTCATGCATAAATTCAGCCCAGTATTTCTTTTGAATCAACCGCACTCCCTCAACAAAATGACAGGAATTGCCGGAGGATTTTGAAGGATTGAGGCAATAGGCACACCTCCAAGTAACATTTCCAAGAAATTTTGGAGGATATTGAAGGATTGAGAAAGAATACAATTGTTTTCACCCCCCCCAAATTGCATGATTTTGAAGGATTGAGGAAGAATCCAACTGTTTTCACCCCCAAATTGGAGGATTCTGGAGGATTGAGGAAGGTCCCTAACAAAAAAGGGCCTAGGGGGTTAGGGTTTAACATCTGTAGCACCACAGATGAAAATCACCCCCATTACATTTTGCAGCTCTTTCTCCATTTATAGCTGTGCCAAACTCCACCAGACTTTGTAATGCCAAATCCCAATCACTGACCATCCAAAGCTTCCAACCTGATTCCAATTCCGTACTCCCTACCCCACCTCATTACCTTTCCAGCGATTTCAGGATGTAGTGATAGTTATTGAGGAGGAAGATGGCTCCCAGGTACTGATCCGAGTATGTCTTGGCCTTCTGGTCCAGGTTGAGACTCAGGGCCCCCAGCACCTTGGCTAAATGACGACAGTGATCACAAAAGGACAGCATAAGTCCAAGGTCTTGTTTCTAATCAATATAAACTCCCACTCAAGGTAAAAAGAATAAACAGAAGGAAATTAACCATTCATTGTGGGCAATCAATTGGAAACTCTTACCTATTTTTGAGCATATTAATTGCTTGGTTTCATTTTTTATGACAGCTTGTGTGTGCTGGTCATGTGTAAATCATGATATACGTATGGAAGTTGTGCAACTAATAAGGGAAATACTACTTTTAAATAAATGCGACAACTGGATCCCATTTAAAACAGTCTGTGCTGTCCACAGGTGACCAAATTTTCATTTTGATTGTAACTCAACCCATTAGTCTCTTTATCAACCCATAATGGTCCTTCCGGTCACCTCAGACACTGCCTACCTTGACCCAGCTTTTCATGGTCAGATGGATTCATTTGGAAATTAACACAATGATAATACAGTGTAACATAAGTGCTGATGACTTGATATCAAATTAATCCAAGGAGACTATCATTACTCCGGCTGCGTTACGCACTTGTGGGCACAATCTTTAGCCTGTGAGAATGGGCACTCTGGCGAGTCACAGCACCTTCTCCGCTCTGTGCGCGAACAAGAACGCGTTTTTAAATAGCAACGACAGTTCTGAGCACGTCAGATCAATTTCTGTCGAATATACGGCCTTTGCCTGTGTACGCGACGCATCCAGGAGACCAGTGGGAAAATGTCCCAATCAACTTGCGATCATCTCTGCCAGTGAGGGGCGGGTTAGTCGAAGACGTATTCACATGCCCATGAGCGTAGTGGCACCGTAGTAGTGGGTCCCAATTCACATCGCAGGATTAGTCCATGCACGTACTCACCAACATAGATGGACACCTGTCTCTTATTTGCATCTACATCAGTAGTCTTGGGGGAATAGCCTTGATCTGCAATGGTAAAATACTTATTGTCACAACACACTCTGGGATGGCCACTGCATGCGATGGCTTCTATGGAGTCACCCTTGACTGTTACATGTTAATTCTTTCTGTCAGATCCGCTGCATTCAACACATTGGAAAAGGCATTAAGGAATCCTCAGCTAGTGACTGCAACCTCAGCTGGTCACTACTAATCCATCTCAACCGGAAGTTTCCAAATCAGATAGAGGGGGGTCCTTTCAGGACGCTGCAGGCTGAACATAGCATTTTGCAAATTGTTCTGGATGGAGGATTCCTTGGGGTGGAATTCCTGAGTGGGTGAACGGCAGGGAACACGTTGTATTTAAAATGATAGAAATTATTCAGTTTTGGATGGGAAAATCACGGGAGTGTGAAGGAGTTGCAGTTGATGATGCCAAAAATCTGTTACCTGAGCTGCGTCATGGGAAAGTTGGCATGTTGCCAAATGGCATTTTGGCTTTTGCACAAGGTGATAAGGAATCTGCAGCTATACATAGATTGTTAGACAAGTAGACTTTTATGCCATGAATATCTAATGCATTTATGCATGTGTGGTACTGCCCACCAACATTGAGGGACGGGCGAGGAACTGCAGGGCAAGTGCGCAGGAGTAGACTGCCTCGGCGAAAAGTTTACATTTCGAGGTACACACTTGGTGCCACAAATCATTCTGAGTCAGGTTACTGACCTCGGTGTGCTGTCAGCATGGCCGCTGTTGTATCGATGTAATCAAGGAGATGCTCCAGAAAGGTCAGGGCCTGAATTTGATGATGAAAGATAATGATTCGAACAAGTGAGCAAGATTTAGCAAACAAGCAGCGTGCTGTGAGCACTGTAGGGCTGGTCTTCTCTAAGAGACCTACAGGTTTTCAAATACTTCCTACAATGGACTTAAACCAATTAGCTGTCCTCTACACGGTGCAGATTTCACTGATACAAAAGCCAGCTGAATACAGAAGCCAGCTGAGGCACGACCAGCAACACTAGACTTTCTGCCCCCTGCTAGGCACGTAGTCCGCGACTGGAATCTTATCCCTGAACATTTTAAAGTGAACTGCACAATGGGTTTACACTTACATTGCTGGTCAGTTCGTGCACCGTGCCATCCTTTGGCATATTGGACTTGTCTGGATCGTTCTGGAACAACAAACACAAATTCTTATGAATAATACACCCTACATATTGGTTGAAACACAACAGTTTTTAAAAGGATGTAACAGGATGACTGAAAATGGGCACAATCTCAGGACCTCAGTCTTTGAGCTTCATATTGAACGTGACACCAAATAGAATAGATATTAGCACGCCATCCTCCTGATGTTATTTTATCAACAGTTACTGGTTGATGTGACAGGATCGAATTTTTGATTAGAAATACAAAATAGGGCTCCGTCCAGCAGGTAGATTTACCTCAGCAACTTAAAAAATACTCAACACACCTTGACAACATCAAAGAATTCTTCCAGAGCTTTGGCTCCTGTGGTCTCCAGGCTGGCAATCAGGCTGGGTAATTTGGAACGCGTAGTTGGTGTCGTACCCTAGAACAGGAAATGTACCATACAAGACCGGCAGACAAAAAAATCAGTTTAGCAACCAGTCTATGGTGCATTTCACTTACATCTATGCTCAGCCGTGTCTTCACACTAGAAGAAATCTTGAGACTTTTTGAAGCATTCCGTTCAAATTCATCGCATGCACTCCCCATTATTTGCATGCACAAGCCTATGGGTTGTGCACAGAAAGTAACGTTTCCCCGGGCCTTACCTGTAGCGTCTCCTCAAACTCTGGTCTGATCTGGCTCAGATGTTTGGCGACAGGAAACACTGTCAGAATGGCGGTGTAGTCGTGCTTCAGGACTGCTCTCTTGGCAGCTGACGATATTGCCTGAATGAGAAACACTGACCAGGGTTCAGACTGATAATTCACTTTACAGTCAACACTAAATTCTTTTAGACTTTTACACCATGAACATAGCCTTCTTTTGTGAGCGTATCTGATATCTGAATATTGCTGCCATCTAAGTCAGCTTGGTTGTTCAGGATTTCCACCTCCATGGGCTAGTTCAAATCTTAAGGGAATCATGAAGCATTGGGATGAGCAAAGAATTCACAAGAACATGTTTAACCCTAACAGTCCTCAATCCTTCACCTGTTGGAGGACTGAGGACTGTTGGGGTTAAACATCCTACATGTTACTGTATCAGGAAATCCCAGCATAAAGTTGTTAATTTGAGTGATGCCTAGTTTGAAAATGCATTAGAGCAACGCAGCTTAGGCAATCAAAACGAGACGTGCCACTTACCTCTCCGTCCTGGAAGATCATCTCCATGGCCTTCTCAATGATCTTGTCAAACGTCCGACGTTGGTGCTCCCCGGGAATAATGCCAGTCATGATCTGGGCTTCGCTCTGACAAGAAATACAGTAACATGCCAGAGGATATAAGAACTGCATAAATGCAGACGAGCTTTTAATTTCGTTTCCTCATATCTTGTAAAACTCCTCCCAAACTTCACAGTGGATTTTGAAGAATCTGCGAGGGTTGGTCGAATCTTAAAATTACGCATAATTTCTGCTCCGATGTAGGATGAGACAGCTTCCATTTTACATCTGGGGAGAGCTTTTCAATTTTGGGGAGGAGGTAGATATGTTCCATTCCATCACAGCTTCAACTTGGTGTTGTAATGGATGTCAGTGCAGGGGAAACTGAACAGGCCCATATTCAGGAATAAAGTATGTCCAAGGCTGTTTGGAAACGGCAATCCACACGTACCTGGGATTGCCCTATCAGTGCAACCATACACTGACTGAAAAGCATTCTTTATTCTCAAAACAACTGTGCTATTTTACAATAAATAACTGGCTCATTTAAGAAGCTGGTAGAAGCATTTTCCAGCTTGAAATATTTCATGTACCAACCTGCATGAGCTTGAGAAGCCCGCTGACGCAGTACAGATAGTTCTCAATCTCTGAATCCAGGTCGACGTGGGAGTCCGGGGCCAGCGATTGAAACTTTCGCCCAGCTGTGTACAGCCAGAAAGAGAATAACTGTGCATCAGGGCTCAAAAACTCAGCTGACGTTTGCAAGCAAACAGAGACAGATCGTGAGTCGATGTTAATCTGGCTTTGTGTCAGGGCTGTTAATTTTTTTTTAATGGGGTTATTTTTTGGCTCCATGCTGACGTGTGAAATCACTGTAGTATCGGTGTGATTCAATATTTGCCATCAAAAACTCTGGAGGGATTTGAACCCACGACATCCTGCATGCCCATGCATTTAATTGACACTCCCTATGTCCATTCAAAGTTCCCAACGTGAACGTGTTTAACTCAAACATCTGAGGTACTATCAATCCATCTTCTAAATTAATCAATTTTGCTTACACGTCTCCCCTTTACTTGTCTGGCTCGCAGATGAGCCTTTTCGGGCCACGACCCTGGATGGGGAAAACAAAATAATTCACAAGCAATGCCAATGATTTGGTTTTTAACTTTTTTCAAATCTTACTGAGGCTCCTTTGAACTGACTTTTAAAACAAATTGATAAGCCTCAAAATGAGCTAATATCTGAAGACTGACTGAAACTCAAAGCTACAAACAGTCAATTTAGATGATCACAACCTTATAATAGGTAGCATTTGACTGGACGAGATGTAAAGGTTTCCATTGTTACATACCAATCAGGGAAAAGCTTAAATGGCCGAGCCATTTTTCCACTGTTGTTGATTTTTGTCAGAATAAATCAAACTCAGTACTTACGGTCTTAAATTAGAACTTGTTCTTCCTTTGGGTGTGTCTTTCATCTTGTGAACTTTGCCAGCAGTCTAGAAGTGGACAGAAACAGGTCCTTTCTATAATGATTGATTATTCTCTTGCTTAAAAATTTAAACTTGTATTCATTTTATTCCATCGGTCACCTATTCCAGGTCTCATATCTGGTTTTCCTATCTGTCAAGGCGAATGCTCCCTTATGTGATTTCACACTGTAATGGAAACTCTTTCAGGCCAATAAACTTGGCCTCATGTGAACGGGCAAATATACATGAACTAGTGCCTTCTGCTCCAGTCAATATGTGGAGACTGACCTTTTTTGAAACCTATGCTTATTGGGCTTATATCCCACTCGTCTCGTCACACATTTCCTTCTTTCTAAAGAAACTGAGCAATTCTTTGCGCAGAGAGGCTGTTGTTAGTGCATCACGATTTCCACTCTGTCGGCAGAGTGCTGGCCATTTGTAGCAGAGGTCATCCGTCACTGAAAGAGTACCACTGTTTGCCACTACCAGCCCCCGCGGATTATCAGCGAGGACAAAAGCACTCCAGCACTCCAGCGATGAGCGATACAATACTGCTGGGCACCCCTGGAATCTGGCCATATTAGCACAGACAGCGCCGCCGTCCAGCAATGCACTGGACCAATTTCCAGAACAAAGAGGAAATTACACGACGCCGCACAATGGGGGCTCTTTACTGGGCTGCAGGTGTGGCTGCAATACTCAAGCATCAATGTAGGTTGCCTGTCAGATAAGACTTGCCATAAGACAGCCATTTGCTAGGGTGTATGCATCCAGTAAATGGGCACATGAATTTTTGAAGAATTTGGAAAAAAAAATAAAAATGAAAAAGCGCCCGGCAGTGCGTGATGCACGCCACTAACTCCACCTGGCAGGAAGTGGTTACACATATACGTTTAAGACCTGATAGGGGCCCAAGGATAATGAAGGCTCGACCCAAAGGTAGGTCATAAATGCAAACTGACCACCATAGGAGAGAAGTTGCCCATGGACGGTATTGTGCTCTTCCTGAGGTGGTCCTTTAATGTCTCCACGGATTTCTTGAGGATGATGGAGCGGGTGGCGTGGTAGATATCGATGAAGTCCAGCGTCTTGCTGTGGTCTCTCAGCCACCTGGCGATCTCAGTCAGGTCTTCCATGGCCGACTCTGATCACGTTGAAACACAGGTGGCAGGGAAAGAAAAAACATGTAACGGTTTGGTACTCAAGATTTGTGACCTTGCAGTAAGCCCTTTGGAAAACCAGGAAGTTGATTTCTGGCTTGTGGCTTCCACAGAGGCATGTGCCACTACTAGCCATAGCCATAACTTTTGGACACAGCAAGATCCCTCATTCAATGCCAATGATGCATCATGGGATCGTACACACATAGTTACAGAAGCAGCAAGTCATCTCAATCCTCCAAGTATTTCAAAATCTGTTTTTGAAAATTTTGGAGGATTTAACCCGGCCACCAGTACATAACAGGCTTCAAACCCCTTGAAAAAACAAAGGCAAAGAATGTGTCAGTATCGGTTTGTTTCCCACAGAGTGAAGAATTTCAGCGGTTTCCAGAAAGCTCCCACCAAAACTGCAGTTATGGTTAAAACAAATCCGAAAGTGTAAGCAGAAACTGAATTCATGACAAGACATATCAACTTACCTGGCATTTGGCTTAGACTGAGGGACACACTGTCTGAAGCAAAATCTGGAAAAGAAGAGAAAGGAGAATACAAATAAACATTTGAAAAACAAAATGAAAATATAGACATCTGACCAGAAGAACAGCATCCTACCAAAAACTGACACACAGACACACAAACACCTGTATGAACAGACAAATCTGCTCTGTCACCTGTGATTAGTGGCTCACTGTACCACATGCATGTGGTAACACAAACAAACAAACAAACAAACCCGTCGTGTTCGTTCCACTGTACAGAGATGTCTTTCTTTTTAATTTTCAACTCAACCGAAACTTCACTTTCACTTAAACAAAACTCCCCCTGACAAACTATTTGCAACAGTTAACTACGGGCATCACAAACATTAAAATGAAAAATCACAAAAAATCAAATTGAAAAAAAATAAGAACATGCTTATGAAGTACTACATGAGACTGATGAGCGATTAAATCAATTTCCACAGCCTCTTGTACTGCTTTCTTTTCATTTCTCTCACTTTTTCCTTTTCTTTCTCCTTCACTTATTCCATTTTTTTTCCAGGGGAAGGAGGGGAGTGCCCTGCTTTGTTCCCCTTGCTTGTAAGGGAGGATCCCTATTATAATCTATTCCATTCCCATGCTCCACATGGTTCTCCCTATTGGGATAGGGGACTTTTGTTCCTATAGTTCTCTGTTAACTCTTCTCTACAAGGATCCCTATGCCGGAAAGTGCACACAGACACAAGTCTTCCTGGTATGGGTTTAGACGTTTTTTATCTTGCTAGTTTTGTTTGGAACTGAAGGTAACATTTTGCCGGCCGACCCAGAATCAGTGAAACACCCCTGAGGAACAATTACGGTCAAGGTCGGTCAGCAACCCTCAAGCAAACAAGAGCCAATCTTGCCTGGTATCCAGGATGTATCTTCTGGATGAGGTTACCAGGCAAAATTGACTACTGGTTTAGCAAATGGCTGCTGATCAAATGTAGCCCGTTTTTGTTTTAACCTTCTTCTTCGGCCGCGATGAGGTCGAGCACTGTGGTAGGGGGAACGGTCTGGCCGTGGCGGCTCAGCAGGACCCTGAACTCATTCTGCAGGGAATCCTTGCCTGTGTTGAACAAGGATGTCTGGTGGAGGAAACAGGACCACTTTTTAAAGTTTACTTTCATGATTGTCAACTGCTAAGCAGCTTTCAACAGTATTTCACATGTAGCTATATAACATCTTCATCAGAGCAATGCTGACTGAAATATTTCCCTCTTTTTTAGAAAATTAACAACTGTGCCTAGTTCCATGTATTTCAAAGTTTAGCCTAGAAACGGATGTTAAATTCAGCATCCAGCTACTGGAAAACATTCCTTTCTTTGGACAGAAATGATCAAATTGATGAGAATTTCCATGACAGAACAGCAGTTTGGTTAATTAACAACTACAGCCTTTATTCAAGATTTTGATGTTGCATTTTGGAGGCAACCACAGCAAATGGGACATTGCCATACAGGGACCACAATCATAGTTGCACATTTCGTTAAATCAGTCGGGTCCAGTGATCAAACAGGAGAGCGACGCAAACTCAACTTGGATTGCTTGTGGTTTATCAGGGGCATAACTCTGCATCATCAAGGCACCAGCTACATGTAAGTTATAAATACCACCTGTTAACATCTTATGTTTAAAATGGAGAGCAGTTTTGGGGGACGTGCTGTGCGTGTGTGGCACGAGGTTCCTAGTCAGGCTGCTTGCCTGGCCAGTGAGGGAGACAAGCATACAATGTAATGCAAGCACGGGGCTACTCACCGCTTTAGCCAGCTCAGGGCTGCTGGGGTTGTGCTCCTCAAAGAAGTTCTTGGCGTCCTCGATCTGCTGCATGTGGCTAAGGTACTGCTCCAGGCCATTCCCCGCCCTGCAAACAGTGGGCACATTAATTCCCCATTGGCTTGGAGCAGGAACCATTAGGGCGCTCTAAGACCAACTCATTTGCAGCAGGGAACTTTCTGGGCTATTTCTTTAACCGGGAGCACGTCCCAATATGCCCTTTTCCACAGTTGACGATGCAGTCCAGCAATCATTCAGCCAACATTGGGCTGGACAACACCTCTTGGTGATCAATGGCACTTAAGCAGCCTGGAGTTTCTGAGGAAACCCTTAGGTTGATCAAGATGTCAACAAATCCACTGGTTAATGCCAACTTCTTCCCCTGAAACCCTAATGTGTGTTTATCAACATTCACTGACTGTTATCTAACAACAGACTGAAAACACTTCATAAACAGCTTACCACAGGATCAAGTCTTTAGTCTTGGCTTTCTTTTTGCACTGTGTCTGAACAGTTTAGGAGCTTATTGCTCCTAGCCAAATGATAAAGCTTCACACACCTACGTTGGTGCGATGTGCAAAAATCTAACATTTGCTTAAGGAATGGAGCTACGTTAAGTACGCAAAACCAGTAACTTACTACCACTTAGCTAGACTCTGTCCTTTTGTTGTAACAGTCCCTGACAATCACAAATTCCTTCCACTTGATTTGCCACACTACACGCACACACAGGGGTAATTTGATTGATTTTGACGGGTGGGACAACTTTGTCAAGAATGCATCCCTGCGTAAGAGGTTTAAGCCTGATCCAGAGAAAAAATTGAAGTTTGGCAAAGTGCCTGCCGCTCACCCTGCCTTGACAGCCTGCTCTAGATCCCTGACTGCATCATGGTGGCTCAGCACTTCGTCAAACACATTTAGAGTGATGGAGAGATCTGAGAGTTAGACTATTCAGGAAAAATATTTGTGACCCAACCTGAGAAAGAAATACAAACTTTGAAGAAATTAAGCATGGAAGTAAATAACATTTTACCAGCATGTATGAAATGCTCCTGCAACTGAGGCATTTTGCAATTAAGTCCTCAAGTAAAACACTCATAAGACTTGAAGTTTTGCATGGTGAAGTACATTTACACACAAGAAGTAAACTCTACACCATAAAATATTTCTTCTACAAGATTGCAAGGTCCTCAAAACAACAAGACAACTTACAACGGATCAAAGTGGGTATATATATATTTGACTTTTACTGTCAATGCAATCTACAAGAATCGAGCAAAATCTTCACATGTGCATTGTACAGTAGTAAACACATTTTGGTCCATATACACACACATATACATTCGGTGATAGACTTCCTCAGGTAATGAATGAGATGAACTTGTCAGGGAAAAAGGCCACACTACAGTCCGACAGAGTTCTGCATAGTGGCAGAATTGAATTGATTGGATCTCAACATTTTATAATGATGATATGTACCCGTACATTGAGAGAAAGCAAGGGAAAAATTGTACGGGAGCAAACGATGGAAACAAAGTATTTCAAAGAAAAGCACTTCAGTAACCCTAACCATCCTTAATCTTTCAAAATCCTCTGGGTGGTTTTGGAGGATTTTGGAGGATTGAGACTGCATGGCAAAGTGGCATTGCTGATCGCGATGGATGCAGTCTCAAGGTTGTGCTTGATGTCTTGTGTTGTTTATGTTCAGCCATGCATAAATTCATGCCCACATTACGTGTGAAATCCTCCATACTGCTCCGGGATACAATTCAAACTGCCTCAACATAATGAGAGGAATTGGAAGAGGACTTTGAAGGATTGAGGCAGTGGGCACCCCTCCACAGAAAATATTCAAGAAATATCGACAGATTTTGGATGACTCAGGCTGTGTCCGATTTCTTTTCATGGGGGCAGTTGGAGCCTTTTGAAGGAGTGAGGGTGTACTGTATCCTAGCCAAAAGGCATATGAAGCAAACTATGGGACAGAGAGCACCCCCCACCTTTGTGTTGGTCATTGTTATACTGGTATCTAAGGAATTCTTTTCAGACTTCTAGGGGGGATGTGTTAGGTAACAATAGGCTAGATTGTGTATAGGGATTGGACTTGTGGGGGGGTACTCCTGTGTCATGTCTGTCCCATTTCGTGCCTGGTATACCAAAAGGGTCTAGGCGGTTAGGGTTAATAGCCCTAAAACTAAAGCCAAAGCTTTGCCAGAGACAAGCACTAAAAAGAAACATTGCAACAACAGGGTAAAGTGAAAAAATATGGTTGGTTACTCAATTAACAGAACTCTAGTTTGCTGAAATAAAATCTGACTGCCGACAGAGGATACTTTCTTGCAGTTTCTGCAGTGAAACCGTTTCTCTGTGCACGGGGAGGATGTTCTGTTCCAACATGCCAAGCCGTTCCTCAAATGAGGTCAATATGGTCACCTGTAGAACGAGGGACAACATCCAAGCTGGATATATTCATTAAATTCGGAACAGTGCGGCTAGAATCTCAAATCTGAGAAGCAGAGCACACCTCATGTATGCTACATGTACATGTGGTTTATGGGGCATTGATAAGTGAGGAAAAAAATTAGCAAGTTTCCATCGTGGAATAGACAGTAAAAGTCACTTCAACAATTAAACTATCCATGCCAACTTGCAAACGGCAAACGTTGGTGATATCCCACGTGAGAAAAACAATTTGCTGTATGTCAGGTTTATAGCAGGTATCAATGACACGAAAACCCTGTTACAATGAAACTAATAAAAAATGTTAAAACTTTAGACAGCCCACATTAAGGTGTTTTGTATGCTCCAACCTTTGTGCTTATGACTGTTTCCATCTTCTCAACTGTACGAAATAATGTGGAATGTAGTGTGGGCTGCAACTTTACCCTTCTACTTGTGTGCATTTGTATCTACTGTGTTTACCTTACAATAAAATTGTCAGTTCTTGTTCAGCTCCATTGAAATACTCAACTATCTATTAATACATGCGGAATCATCTTCGTTTAACATACCATATTTGAGGTCATCTGACTACTTTTGCTGAGGCTGTCTTGAATAAAGGCAAGATCCTCTGCCCCCTATTAAAAGCAGTAGAAAACACAAATGGAGAAAAAGAGGTTTCGATAAAGGAATAACCTCTCTCAAAATGCAGTTTAGATTTGTACAAAATGAAAACATTTTGGGTGTAGGCCTGACCCCTGCACTGCAGGTGAAGAAATTATTCCAGTGGTGGATGCAGCGGCACACAGTATTTTCAGACATATGTGTAAAACTGTTATCTTTGATATACATGTACATCTTGCCAATGATTTAGGAAGACTTCAAAAGAAAATATTTGTGAAGTGTCGGAAATGGACAGCTTTCCATCGTTTTTGTGCAGATTTATCGATGAGTTTCACATCTTCCTCGTAGAGGTCTACTCCTACATTAATTTCGAAAAAAAATGTAACCAACGTCACCTACCTTTACCAACTTTTCATCGATAGCCTGTATTTTCTGCACTGTGTCTTCCATGGTTTTTCTTTCCTTTAAGTGGTATCATTCGCAAAATAATTGGGTGGGTTGTAAATTCTTACAACTTGCAGGAGGCTGCCATATTTACAATAGCTGGTAACCTGTACCTGAATATTCTCTCGTAATATGCAACGTAGTCGGCAAGGAACCAGTGAAATCAAAAGGGGGCGGGGTAACTTTTAAAAATGAGGGCGGCAGTGCAAAACTATTGATGATTACTTGTCAGACTGCTGAGGGGTTTAAGTCAAATATATTGACGCTTTAAAAAACATAAATAAAAGTATCGGTTGACTACAAACGGAGCTCTTTTAAAAAAAAGGTTAATAACTGAATAAACTAACAAACTGGGCATCAATACAAAGTCTATGAAATAATTATTGAGTAATAATGGATGCGCCAACTTTGTTTTTAACCCACGCTGTCATGGAGGAAGGGGAGAGAAGGGTGCACATTGTCAACCCCCTGGAGGAAATGGGGGAATAAGAAGGGGGGGGGGAGGAGCGATAATTCCCCGAAGAAACGCAGGAAAAAATACCCCCACTTTGAGCACTCCCTGCAGTTGTCTTTCACAAGATTTCCTACCAGGAAACGACATCTTGAAATGCATTTCTTGGAGAAAGGATTAAAGTGGTTTATCACTGTGCAACAAGGGAAAAGCAACGAAGCGGTGTCTAATGGAGTTACACAAGGCGTACTATACCACAACCAGGGAGGGGGCGGTGTCAACATCAACATGTCTTTAGAAAATTAACACGGACGGTGTCACTTTATTTTGACCACATGTTAAAGAAAAACCTACGTGGGATGGTCTTTGGATCCTAAAGTAGATCAGGAGATAAATGGCTGCTTAAATTGCCCACAGAGGTATAATCGATGTTTAAAATTAATTTCTTTGTAAAAAACAAAAACCAATCATCGGTGCCGTTGCTTCTTCCATGATTCTACTGGGTGTGCGCCTTTTCCCCTGGGAAACACCCAGTCGTCAGTCACTCAACTTGGTAATTTTGTCGCGTGGATGATACAGTTCAATGAACATGTTGCCCATGTGCACCCGGTACCCGGCGCGGCCCGGCGCGCGTACTACTATACTGCATACTGCATTCAACGAGCTAGATAGTTTTACTTCCGGTTCGTGACGTCATGGGTGTGGTATGGGAACACATTACAGCCAAAATGGCGGCGAGTGTCTTTACGTGCTGTCTGTCTCCGCAGGAGATGGAGGCAAAATCCAAGAGTAAAGCCATCGATAAGGAACTGAGCAAGTACAAATCCTACATCAGGAGGGAAATCAAGATCTTGCTGCTCGGTGCCGGCGAGAGTGGGAAAAGTACTTTCCTGAAACAGATGAAAATCATCCACGGACAGGAGTTCACGGATGATGATGTGAAAGACTACCGCAATATAATCTACTCGAACGTTATCAAGGGGCTGAAAGTGTTGCAAGACGCCCGCAGCAAGCTACAGATACCGTGGGGGGACGCGGCCAACGAGGAGCATGCTACTCAGGTCATGGGCTGCGACACAGCGCTGCTAGAACCCGCAGTTTTTGTGCAGTTTGTGCCGAATTGCAGGGCACTTTGGGCCGACAGCGGAATACAGGGAGCCTACGACAGAAGGCGTGAATTTCAGTTGGTGAGTTCGCATTTCTGTGCACGCACGTAGGCCCATCGAGTACAGTACCACGTACTAGGCCCGATGCGTGAAGTTTACACGTACGCCTATCACAGTATCACCACATCATCAATACATGTATTACTACATGTATTTGGGGGGAAATGGCATGGTGTTACTCAATGGAAAATGCTATAGTTTTTTCAGTTAATTGCTGTGTTACATGTACGCGGGTACCAAACAACACAAACTTTCTGCTGTTGAAATTGCCTTCAAATGAGTATTTCCATTTGCCTGTTGAATCCGTGAATGATTGATACTTAATGCATTTTCTCTTTATGCATTTTCTAAATGGTCACATGTATCTCCACTTTTTTTAAAACCAAGGTTTGTGTCTCCAGAAACGTTTTTGAAGGTACAGAACTGGTACAGCATTTATGATGATTTTAAAAATGCAAACACAGATGTGTCCTTGGAAAAAAATCTATACAATCATTGCATGCTTGGAGGAAGTACATACATGTGCATCAGACCTTTTGTACCATGACAGGTTGTTTCTGAAGCTTTAAGTTTCTCAATGATTTTTTTCCTGTTAAAGCCTATTAGGTTGATCACTGAGTGAGGACTATAAAAACTGCTCTGTCTGCTATTTATATAATGTTCTTGAGGTTTTGGTGATGAAGAAGTTGGTTTTACATTCCAACTTTGTCCCATGCCTACTTTGGCAGGCCTTCCTATATTGGCACAGTTGATCTAGCCAAATTAATGCCCCAAAAGTGTTATTTCTCAATTGAAACAGAACAGGGCTGTTAACCATTTTGTAAAGGAGTTTATAGTATGATCCGGTTGAGGTGACTGAATTGCTTTTTCTTATATACAAGTAACTGATACCTCTACGATGCACCAAATTTGGGCCTACCCCAAAACGGTACTGCCAAAAGTTGGTGCACTAACATACATGCACTGTACTGGTACATTTACATTGTAGTTGGGATGAACCACTTGTTTATTTGCACTCAGGCAAATACGCAGAGGGGCGTTGGTGTTAGTTATACTCAAACTGTAGCAACAGTCCCAACTATATTAGGGAAGGTCCCAACTATACTGCTTCAGTTCCACTGGCCCTTCTCCAGTTAGCAAATTTCTGTAGAAAATTTTTCTACCTACCGTACTGTAGCTTAAGTAGATACACCTGAAAAAATTCTACCAAAATGACAACTGGGCATTTCCAGTCTGACAAAGAAAAACTCGATTCTTCTAGCAGGTGCTGTCCATACAAAATGACAGTGGCGCATGCTACAGCTCACACACTAACACATTATACCATACATGTAGTTTAGTGAGTCTACCAGTAACTACAGCACCGCACTTGGAATTGTCCCAACTGCAGTTGGGACAGATGCTGAAGTTGGACGTAGCAGCATTTAGGTATCAGCCCCGCCTCTCTCGTTGTGACTAGTGAGGGTGGAGTTGTACACCAAATCAGTATGTGTATTGTATCTTGCACTGTGTTGGCTTTTGGTGTACTTGTATACCTGTACATGTATACGGGAGAATTTCACAGAGAGCTTTGTTAAGCACATGAAAAAATGGTAAAGCAAAAGCAGGTAGCCAACCAAAAACTCATTTATGTATTGCTTTCGACTGGTTCCCTGCTGATTTTTGCCAAACACGTAATGTTGCCAATCAATCCTTATGGTGTACAGCTCTCTGGAATCACAGGTCCAGAAGGCTCCTTGTAAAACCTGAAGAGCTGCTGGTGAGGTTGACTGCCTGAAGTGTGTAATGTGTATCTACAGGTAGTTACAACTCAAAGGTCTTTACTTAACCTTAGCACAATCAGCTGTCGTAAGTCATCTAAAATCAAACAGCTATATTTTGCACTATTTTTATTGATCCATCCAAATCTAACACCTGAATCATGTGTCAGTTTTGTAAACAGTGGGTTGGCTCTGAGTACAAACAGAAGTGTAGTAGTGGCTTTAGAAAGCTTGGGGTTAACAAATCAAGGATACCTGGTACAAACGTACATGTACATCAACCGTTATCTGATTTTTTGTGCAAGGTCAGCATTCAGGAAGTCGCAACAGGCTAGCTGCTCGTATCTGCGTGCGGACATTGTACACATGCCCTCTCAGAGGACCTGCCAATGCCAGGCGTTGGTCTCTTGTCCTCCGCTATCCTGGCACTTGCCCCGCTCTGCCCTCAGCGTTAGTCCTAGTCAGCCACTTTTTTGCTGTATTTGCCTTTTCAATTAAGGAGAGTCACCGGGGGCCTTTTTCTGGGCCACAAAAGTGTACTCCATGTCCATTTACTGGGCCATCCCAGATGCAAGCATTGGCCACGGCTGGCCAGCAAATGTGGATGACTTACTGAAGCCAGTAAATGCATCAGTTGCTTTGGAAGTACCACTTTTAGTGGATTGTTATTTTCTCTTTGGAGGAGGGCATGAGTTGGTTAAAGTTTGAAATTGAGGCTACATGCAAGTACAACGAATTCCCTGGATTACGTACATGTACAGTACTTATTCGACATTCCTTGAGGGGACTCACTTCAAATATATGACTTGTCAGAAGCGATGGCCTGCATCTATGTTTGTGTACATGACGCATGGTATGCACTGAAGTACATCTACATGCACACGTGCACCCAAAATGGACTTTGGCACTTCAGCGGAGAGTGCTTGTGCACACTTTGCAATGCTGATGGGAGGGCTTGACGGTGGATGCAAATTCCTACATGAGCGCGTGTCTGTCAGTGATGAAGCATCAGCCAATTCAGCTTGTGTCTACAGTCAATTCAGATATACATTCAATTAATCTGTGTCAATCCAACAAGTACATCAGATTCCCTTCTAGTAAATTGGGCAAAGCAGATTTCCCTCCTAGTCCCACCAGACATTCAGAATTGGTGGCCACCCACATTGTCACTGACTACACCGTTCATTTCAGAAAATTTCAGAACTTTGATAATGCCTGCTGAGAAGTGATAATACCCGCTGCGTAAATCGTGTGTTGTCACATGGATAGGAGACAGTGTACTTGGGTCTGATTGGTCAAGAGTCTGCGTGCACGTGACGTGCCACGCGCGCCCCAAGTTCATCGAAGGGGATGCCATTGGACAACTTTCAAAAGGAATATACCATAAAATGGACAGGGGTGCTCAGGAAAGTGAAAGTAATGTTTGAGAACAAAATTGTTGGGAATACATCATATGTTGACTTCTTTTGACTCTCTGAATAAAAAGCTATAAAAATGAACAGGAATAAATACACGTATGTGTCCATTCTCTTGAATCAGTCTTAAATGAACATTTAAGACTGGCCAAGCACATATTTATTCCCTTGATATGGATTGATGTACATGTACCAAAGGCACTTGAATGTGGAAGTGAAGAATCTTTCAATGGGTCAAGTGCCTTAGAAGTATCAATATGTTATTCAACACGTTTTGGGTTGTACATGGACCTTCCCTAATCCTGCTAAAATCTTTCCACTCCATCTGGAGGATTGTGATGACTGATTCGAAAGATGAGACTGTTAACTTCCACGGTGCTTACATTTGCGAATCTGCTAGATGTACACTACATACATTTAACAAAGTGATAGCTGAATGTTCTAAAAGTAACAGGGGTACGTATTGACATCTTGTTTGCTGTGCGTCCCTCCATGTGTGGGAAAAATGCTTCATATAATATTGTATGCCTACATATCACAATGAATTCGCACTCTACAGTTCACAATTCAGACAGACTGCTATAGCATCAGAGACCAGAATTTTAGAATACATTAGCATTTGATACATGTAACGCACAGGGGTATGTTCAGAAATTGGTTTATAATGCAGCAGGCATGTGAACGTATACAAAAGATGTGCATAACTGAACTTTAGTAATTTTGTAATTTTGTAGTGGTAGAAGGCTATATTCTACAGGTTGGTTTCTCAATTGCATGTACTCTGTACATGTGTACATTATGGTGTGCTAAATTTTAAACATTCACCTTAATTATTTTCGAGTGACAAAATAAATTTAGAAACTTTCAGTTTGCCTTCTACTAGTACGAGGTTCTGTGTGTATGTGTGTGCAGGCGTGGCATACATGTACATAGTGTGGACCCCTGCACAAAAGAAGTCCACGTAATGTAGCGTATAATGGCTTTGTGTGGACTCGCACAAGTCCATAAAATGTTTTCCCCTCTCTGAGAAACAGTTTCAGAGGCATTTTGGGGTCAGAGTTATCTGTGGCAAAATGAAGAGGAACAGTCCAAGAAATCATCATCAAAAATCCAGCTCGAAGGAGTTATCCGAGTGGAGAAAAAGGAGCATTTTCCTCAAGTTTCCTTAACCACAGGAGAAGATAGGAATGTCCTCACTTTGTATATAAAACAGGTGTGTGTGTGGGTGGATGTGGGCTGTACTTCTTGATTTTACATAAATTACATGTACATTTAGCCGCTGACAATGTTCCACATCGTTAATGTATTCACATTTCGCAGAACTGTTTGACATTTGGCACAAATTTCTTTTGATCTCACACGTGTGTATTTCTAATCGGTGTAGGATATTTTATCGAGTTTCCCCTGAGCTCACTGTGCAGTGTTTGAGGGGGGAGACTTACTGTACGCATATACACAAATGTTCTCCATCGCAGGATTGCATTGCCATATTGTAGGTATACACAGTGCTACGTTGACACACATTGCACCAGTTTACATGTACATACATTTGTCCCAACTTACACAATGCAATCACGCATACATACCGGTACAGTATGCAATATGCAGTGTATTTTCCGAGTACATTTAAATCACATCCGTATTTGCAAACCTTCAGAACATTTCATCTTGCCAATGTTGGGCTCGTGAACCGAAGCCCTAACCTGAACTAAATGTAGTTTACACTTTGGTGCGTGGATATTTACAGCAATGGTTGGCTTGAGATTTGAACGATGAAAGTTTGTAGCCATTCTCGGGCCACTCTGCGCCGCCATGGCCCATGGAGGATTTTACGGAGTACTTCCTGAAACTCTCATCCAGAAAAAAGTGAATTCATGCACAATGACCTGCTGATGCTCCATTGTTGTGCACTGAATTGTGCTGAAGTTGAATACAATAGACCTGGTAATATGCTGCATATGTTTTTTTGGGCACGCAATATGTATTGTGTAACTACTGCAATGAATGAAGGGCACCACAAATGTACACACTTTACTTGGTTCTTGCCAATCATTGGCCTCGGGTGCGTGGATGTTTGCATGCCCCAGTGATCAAAGACAGGTGACCTTTCACCCCCAGAGGATGGATCAAAATATACCTGGTACTGTTTACATATGCCTCCATGAGATTTTTTTTTTATAAAACAGTCTCCAGCTAAGTTATAGTATACCAAGATGGTCAAGGTTGGGCACATGAAGGCTTTTGCCTGACTGTGTGGTGTCTGGTTCTGTTCATATTTAGAGTGAGGTAACAAACAAAATGCATGTGAATGTCTGGGATTGGGTTGTTGCATGTAAACCACTGTTACATCGATATGATAAGAGAAATGTTATATTTTCACATACATGCAAATGTATGTAACTTCCCAATTACATACCCCCCAAAAGAAAAGGTAGAATTTTAAAAACATACATCTTGGATCCCGTCTATTACTAGCAGATAAGAGCCCGTTGAGTGGGACCATGAGGCTAATATGTATCTGGTGTCGAATTTCGATTCTGTGAACTCAGACAGAACTCAAAGTTTCCGCCGATGAAAAAAAATAAAGTGCAAAAATGTGAAAGTTCTCAACTAGCACTCAACACACTGGTCACAGGCAGCCCCAAATCTGTTAAGAGTCGCAGACCACTGTCGGTAGATTTAAAGCGGCAACAACATTGCAGATGAATCTTGGAATGCTTGGAAATGTGAATTCCTGTTTGTCGTTGAGTTCTATTCTCACTAAATCTCCTTCATCTTCGCTTCATGATCACTTTACTCCATGTTGGCATCTTGTAGGTGTATACTTGTGACTAAATATATGATACAAAAAAATGCTTAACGAAAATGTTTATTAAAGCTTATACTTCGTCGCCATTGACCAATTTTGCATGTGTTGGTTGATGGAATTCTTCATCATGCATAGAGTCCACGTGCAAACTGGTCTACATATTCATGTACCCAGAGAAAAAAAAAGTTGTAGTTTTTTTCTAAGAATGTATCCATTGGCAGCAATTTGTGTCATGATGTGTCAAAATATTTGTACTATTGCCCATACAGTTTCATACCTAAAGTATACATGTACCAAGTCTCAAGAAGATGCATAAAAATTGCCCAAATTTGCTGTCAATGCCAAAGTGCCCACTTACGAGTATAACACTGGTCCCCGACCACTCCCCCAGTACATGTACCAGGGTAGCAGAAACCCGGTTCAGTTCTGAAGTGACAAATGGGAATGTACACAAGTACATACACATGTACATACACATGTATGTACATGTACATGTATGTACATGTATGTACAAGGTAGCTGCAACAAAAAGTCAAACATCTGTACATTGCCAGTACACGTAAATCTAATATCGTACGTAGCCATGAAAATGTCCCTGTTTCGTCCCAGACAAAACACTATATTTTCTTTAATTTCACAATCATCACAAAGACTAAGAAAAGTTCTTGAGGGTATTCTCCACCCAGATGTCCAATGGTTCAAACAAAAACCACTGCTTTCCATTAATGTCTCAGGGGTAACAATTTTATTACAAGTTACATGTATGGGACGTACAAGTTGCGTGTATAAATAATTGGCATACATTTATACCCTCATACAGACTTATTCCCATTAGTGTCGAGAATAAGCATCTATAAATGGGACAGCATCATCACTCCCAGTGACCCCACACGTCTGATGATGGGCCAGGAATCTTTGGCCACGTCACAGACTGAAAACAACAGTCAGCCTTAGAGGAAGGCAACTCCTCCCTGTCAGGGACTTATGGCCACCCGGCAGAAATTCAAAGAACCTTCTGCTTCAGAATAGAGCTGACTCTGATGTTAATTCATCTTGGTGTTTCAAAAATCCAAGGTCTTTTGGGAACGAAGCGCACACGTGAGTCAGCATACGACTGCAATGATAGGACAGACTTTCGCGCATGTATTGCTCTCTTCCCAAATAACCTCAGAATGGGCATGTGCTGCTTGAAAATACCCAACTGGCTCATTAGGATGGAATGAGAATCACATGTGGCACATGTTGTCAGCAAACCATGTCGGGAAACGGATAGAAATGCTTTTAAAAAAGCAACCTGTTTTTAAGTTAGAGTATAGGGCCCTGTGGACCAGTACATTATTTGCTTTGGAGAAATTGTTATACTCAACAATACCATCCTTTTAAATCTGTAAAAAATTTGGACATATTTAACTTTCAAAACCCATGGTGATATTGTTGTTACAGGGCTGCCAGTGTGCATGCATTGAGTGGGAGGCTCACATATTTCAGGTTATTCTAGCGCTATCACCCCCATTCTTTTGTGACCAGTGGGACATCTTGTATTCAAAGGACTAGAAGTTCTTCAGCACGCTTGGGCATCTTTGAGTGGAAACTTATCAATGTTACATCTCCAGGATTCAAAACCAAGACCTCCTTTATCATGTTAGTAGCGTGGACATCTTGACTGTAACCATGCGATGATGCCATGCCACATTTACCTGACGTAATAAATCAAGAGCAATTTGTTAATAACCTACAGGTAGTTGTTTCTTAGCCAGTTTTCATGATGTGTTTATTTTTTTCTCATCTGTTTTTTTTTTTTTTTTTTTTTTGCTCAGGCGGACTCAGTGAAGTACTTCCTGGATGAATTGGATCGAATTGGAAAGGAGGTAAATACAGAACTGTATGTTATGCAGTAGGATTGGCCCCCTGATTAACACCTACATGTACATGTATAACTATGATTTGATGGCAAATAAATTGATTTTTAATTAAGGAATTGCCTTCTCATAACAGTGGCAATGTTAGGAAGCAAAATCTTTTGTGCAAGTATTAAAGAGATGTGAAAATTCTTGTATTTTGTACAAATGTGGTAGTTCCCACGATGCCTTTATTGTACTGCTTTGGATGTCTTTTGTGTATTTTTACATTCTTCGGCCATACATGTTACTCAACTAAAGAACCAGTCATTCGGCTATTCTTTTAGTTGGCTCCCACAACATGGCATTAAAACTTGAAACAGAATGTATGTTACTCTTGAGTGATTCGCAGGTTCATTATATTAAGAATTATTTTCCCCTTGAAAAATGCGATCTTGCTTGAGCTTTTATTTTAAAAATGGTAATGGCTAGGGTTATGTTTCCTCGTTTTGGTTTTGATGTCATTTTTACTACCAAATCGTTGCAGAATTACTTGCCCACCACGCAAGACATCCTGTACGCTCGCAAGGCCACCAAGGGGATCGTGGAGCATGTCATCGACATCAAGAACGTGCCCTTCCGGTTCGTGGATGTGGGCGGCCAGCGTTCCCAGCGCCAGAAGTGGTTTCAGTGCTTTGAGGGCGTAACCTCCATCCTTTTCTTGGTCTCCTCCAGCGAGTTCGACCAGGTGCTGATGGAGGACCGCATCACCAACCGGCTAGTGGAGTCCTGCAACATCTTTGAGACCATCGTCAACCACAAGTACTTCTGCCGGGTCTCCATCATCCTCTTCCTGAACAAGACGGACCTCCTGGAGCAGAAGATCAAGGTGGTCAACCTCAAGGACTACTTCGCCGCCTATGAGGGCGAGCCCACGGACCTGAAGGCGGTGCAGAGCTTCATCCTGCTCATGTTTGACATGCGGCGCCGGGACCGCAGCAAATCGCTCTTCCACCACTTCACCACCGCCGTGGACACAAACAACATTCGGTACGTATTCTACGCGGTCCGGGACACGATTCTCAAGCAGAATCTGGAGGGCCTTATGCTGCAGTAGCTGTTCCAGGTAGTGTGAGTCTTGCCTTCTCGACGATGGTCGCCTGTGGCCTCGAAAAAAAAAAAGAAGAAATTACTTAATCTATATATCCAGCATTGATGGAAAAAGCATCAAAATATTTTTTCCTCTTGTTTTTCTTCAACTCTTGTGGAAATCATTGAGTCACATTTACTGTGGAATATAATATATATATATTTATATCCCGCAATACACTGCAAACAAATGCAGATCTTAATGCAAGATGAGGCTCAACCTGACAGCAATACAGGTGTCTGAAAGCCTCATGTAGATGAGTTGCAGTAAATGCCAGTTTAATGCCGTTAATCCTAACCTTCCCGGCCCCCTCCCCGCATTCTTCAAAATCCTACCAGTGGTTGTGGCATTGAGGAAGGTGGAGTCTATCCGTTCCATGGGGCTTTACACCCTTCAAACATTGAATTCAAATCTCAATTTGCCATGTGCTTCCTACGGAGTAGAGGATTTGGGAAGGTTCAGGAAGAACGGTTAGTGTGTAAGGATTAATGCTGTTGTAAGGGAGTCTCTCACAACTCGGAGCATTCCTGAGCCTTTTGAGAGTGCCCGTCTGAAACACAGCGTGCTCCTCAGGGGAAAATTGTTGCCAGCTTCCTCTTGACTGCCGAGGGCTTTTCCTGGTACACATGGGCAGATGTTCCCACATAGGCAGGCCTGTCGATCCAGGCCATTCCTGGATAACCCTGGAACACTAAGAACATACAGTTCATGTACTAAAAGCCCCGAGTTCCTGAGACATTCCCTTGTAGCTGGTTTAAAAAACTGGGGTTGAATGAGCGATGCTAAAAAAAACATGATTTTTAATTCTCTGTCAGAATGACTTCTTGGATGGTAAATTCATGAACAATTTATCCTGATTCAAGTACACTCAGACTGTCATGGAGAACTCGGCAAGAATTAACTACAATACTGTTTTTTATGTACATATATTTTCCTTTATTGAGATACGTGTCTTTTTTAAAAAGCAAAATAAGTGCAGACACTGAGAAATGGCATTGCCATGCTGTAAAGGTTAATATTGTGTCTTGTGTTGGCTTTCTGTATTTGTTTTAAATTTAGAGTGTAGTGTAAATCATGTAAAAAGATCTGGTGGAATGACAAGGGAAGATTTGTTTACTATACCTACTTGTAATGAAAGTATTTGACTTTCGACAGTTGACTAAAGGGCTTTTAGCATGTGTTAAAACCTGCGTTGCGAACAAAAGATCAGTATACTTAATTCTTATTTTTTAAATAGTATAAAGATTTTTGAAATAGTACATGTGCATGTAGATTGTACATGTAATGTTTAGGCTGTGTCTAAATTAATGGTGTGGCTTGGAGTAGCACACATGCCTGATGGAAGTGGCTGCAGCCGCATGGCGGTGGCTGTACCATTGGAGCACTTGTTGTTCCCAGCCACTGCCACAACTTTGAGACACTGTGTAAGATTCCCTCATGCAGTGCCAGTGATGCATTGTGGGATATGATAAGTCAACCCCAAATTCTGCTGGCTCCTTCCAAGCCTAGAGCCCAGCCCCTGTTATATTACATGGGGCTTGATGGCCCAGGAAAGCTGGAGTACAAAGATGGCTCTATTAGATTCCTAATGGGTTTATTTTGGAGGAACTCTGAAGATTTTGAGCAAAAGGGAAATAAATCACAGGGCATCGGGTCAATGTGATTCTAAGTCAGTGCACATCCTCAAATGTTTGCTGTAAAGTTTGTATATGCAGGCCTGTCTTTTCAAATTTGTGAGGAAGGCTTCATCATACCTGTAAATGTACGTATATTTGTAAATCCTTCCAGCGGAAACAAAGTGAGACCACAGTCCTAGCAGAGTCTTGTACCGGGTAGTGGACATACGCAGACAGACTTAGGCTGGGTTCTAAAATGCTGCCTGTAAAGAAATGTGAAGTACGGTATGTCTGACTACGTGCGCATGTACATGTATGCGGTGGAACTATTTATGTGTTTTTCATTTAATGAGTGGGAGTTCATTTTACGAGTGGGAGGATTGAACTCTCAGCCAGCTAACCACTCTAATTATCCAGTAGACATAGCCAATCAAGGGTTTTTAATTTTGTTTTTTTTTCAAAGCTGAAAGGTATTACAGTTGCCTCATTATTTACAAAATTTTGCTCGGAAAACAAAAGCCTGTGGAAATGGTAAATCATTAGGCCTACGTGTTGAGTAAAATTTGTCGGACGTTCCTTTGGATACAAGTGCATGCTTCTCCAGGGGACTACCATGAAGTTGCAGACATCCATGTACATGTACAATTCAAAATAATGCCTAGAGTTCTGACGGGCCGTGTTCCCAAATGGGATTGTTTCTCAACTGGGAATGTTTTCACGTGCTCTTCCTGTGTTTGTAAGAGAAATGCTCTAAGGTATGGAAAGTAGCATAGGTCAATGTCAAACCAAACACTTGCATTGTGTGGCTTTCACACTAATTATTGAACATGCATTGCGGTCTGCTCGTAACCTCATTTCCTTCAGTCTACAAAAGACTTCCATTTTTACTTGTAGCTTTGAATTACTGTGGAAACCACATGTGCCGAGGCCAGAGCTGAACTTCAAAGCCAGATTTTGGCACCTTGATCTACACAGACTGCAGTAACTGCACATCTACAGATCCGTACAAACTTTAGTCAGTGTGGGTCTGAAGACTCACACCGGGCGGTTGACACATCTGTAAATTCATGGAGATTCTAGGCTTGGCTAGAATGTTTGCCTCTTCCCTTTCCCCCTAAAAATCTACAAAAATCCATCCAGAATTGTTAGTGGTGGTATGCTGGAGCAGCTCTGTTGCTGATTAACTTATCTTTACAAATAAACCAGGGCAGCGAGTACTGCAAGAATTATAAGAGCTCTGTAGAAAAAATTCTTTTCTGCCCAGAATTGCCTGATCTTGGAACGTTGGCATTGCCGTTATATTGTTGGGAGGGGGAGGGGACAAAACCACTTTTTTTCTAGGGGGAAAAATTTCCAGGATGGGGAGAGGACAAGGCACTCATCAGCAACAAAGTTATAAACCACTAATAGTACAAGGGATTCCATTTTGAAATTTGTTTTTTTCAAGCAAATTGGTGATCTTCATACACTTTCATCTCATTCCTTTTGGTTTTTTACCATTTTTTCTTTCATTGTTTCCCCCCGGAACAGCAATTGCGCCCCTTGCCTCCTACCCCCCCATGCCTATGTCTCCATGAATCAACGCTCTGCATGGGGAACTAGAAGTTGCCATTACGTAGAGTTGACCCCCCCCAAAAAAAAGTCACAAATGAAGTTTCAGGAATATCATTTCTCTCTGATACCTGTGCAGTAACATTTTTTAAAGCGTAATTCTGTCAATTACATACATGTGCTGCATTTTCTGTGGTGAAAATGAGAGGGGGGAGGTTGTCTTTTGTTTTTACAAGTTAGACCCAACTTTCTTTATCCCGCTTACAAATGCAAAGAAGAAGAAATCTGCACCTGCATCTTGAAATGGGCTTTCATTTCTGCCGTTTTAGTTCATTAGGGTCATGAATATTTATGTGATGACACAGGGAGTTTTCATAAAACAAGTGTGCCATACGTAAATCATTGAATTTTAATGTGTTTTTCTGTTTTGTATTAAAGGAGCTCTGTGTTAATATGCAGATTAAGTTGTCGTATTATATTATATATACCATACATGTATTTCCAAATAAGAGAAAGTGGGAAACAATTCCACGTTTGAATGTTCTTGTCCTACTTCAGATATGTATTGTACATTTCTGGCAGCTACATGTGTACATGTACATGTATTATGTATCTACAATACATTGTACATGTACAAGCAATACAGAAGATCAAAGTGGCATTTTGAGACACGTTCGTACATGTATCTGTGAAGAAAAGAGAATGCTGGATGTACAAAGTTGCGCTTTTGAAAATAAACCACATCAGAGGTGAAAGCAAGCGGGACAGATTTTGAGTCGCTTGGGGCTGTGAATTTGTGAGTGGTGCAAGTTGTATATGCATGTGTGCTTCTTTTGTCACACTGTACATGTACACATGCATATAAACCACTGACTGAGCGTTGGTGAAGGGGGGGTGACATTAAAATGCAGTTATACCCGGTAGATGATAGATAAAAACTTCATTTTTCCCCCTTGGGGAACTTCAAAGACAATAGAGCGCCTTTCATTTTCATTGTATATAAGTATTTCTGTTAAATTTCTGTACATACATGTACACTTTTCTAGCCTGAATACATAGTAAATTCATGTAGTCCGTACATGCATGAGACGGTCGTCTGTGTTCCTAGCAGGTTACTGTCTTTCGTTTCTCTCTTCACCTTTTTTTGCACATTCAGTGTGGATTCTTGAAAATGAGTCCAGGATGACGATAGAAATGTAAGCATTTCCGTTTCTTTGGCTGATTAGGTGTAGGTCCTAACAGTTCAGTACTAGTATTATTTGGTCGTAGAGTATTACGCAGGAAGTTGAGTGGTGAAGAGCATGCTGGGATTGCACGGTGTTCATGTACATTAAATGTGGTAACTTTTGTTCTCAACCGGACTTGAATCCAATTGGTTGATGCCATAGCAAAAGTATTGTGATATGATGACCCCATTCTCCCCATTACATACGTTACATGAAATGAATTCTGTTGGGCTTATCTTGGATGGGTGTCACAGCTGCGCTGTTCAGATTTACTTCGAGAGAAATTATTGACTGTCAAGCATGAATGCTGATATGCAAAGTCACATTTTTTTGTGGAGGGTAGATGTACATGTACTAGTACATGCAAAGGTTTTGCTGTTTTTTGTGTTCATTTCACAGGACCCTGAATTTTACAGTGCATGTATAAGAATTCAATGCATTGGTGTGCATTTACGGGTTGTGTGTAAAACGGGTACCGTTTGGTGAAAAAACTAACCGACAGATGAGAAATAGCATTAGTGAACAATGCATTCAGTGCTCTCAATGCCATTCAACAATCTTTGCACATAACTGTGAAATCAGCTGTAGCATTCCACAAAGCGTTTTATTTGCAAATGCCACCTCAGCCTTTTAAAAAGGTTCTCTTGTGTTGTCCAAAAAGTTACCAAGTAATTTGTAAGGATCATGAAATTAACCATTTTGGACCAACTTTTGCACTGAAGATGCTCTGGCCCATGTTGGCGAGCCCTCATACTCTCCTGATGGCCTTGATTAATTCCTGATGATTTAACGTGTTAAAAGAAATCATGTCACATCGTCATTTTTCGTTCTGTTCATGATGGGGGATACCTAACTATTGTACAGGTGGGTTACCCATGTCTGGAGCCGTGTTACTATACTGCATGTCCTGTACTGTGCATACTGGTATGTATTACGCTTCTGTTGAATTGTCATGGAAATACTGTAAAGTGGGGAACATCTCCTGTTACTTCAAGTTTATTTGTTTTGTATTGTATTGTCCCTTTTCTGAGGGAAAGGGCATATTTAGTAATTACTCAGTATGGGAGTGGCCAGCACTGTTGTTATAAATTTTTCCCAAAAAAATTGGAAATTGTCGACCACAGTTGGCACACTTTCGCAGACATGCGGTACAAAATAGAGCAAAGATTTCCACCCACCCCAACCCCCCCCCGCTAATGACTTCCTACTCCTACTATTTACGTGTGCGTGTCTGTTCAATTCACCATATGTTTTACCTTACATGTACCTTACAGTGTTCAAAACTGCACGCCAACATGTACATGTAATGTGAGGCAGTAATGCACATTGGCATCTATTGTATGCCCCTCCACTCAGTATTTTCCAATCAGAGCACAGGATCAGCAAACTCTTGGTAAACTCCAAGTTCATGGCAGAAGCACTGCTCGTGCTACTGTTAAAGGAGAAAAAAAAGATGACGGACCAATTATTTTGTGCTGCTGTCGAGGGTCTGCTCCAGCAGTGTCGCCGTCATATTTTTGCCTACTGATGGCTGGTAAAACTATAGACCTCTAACATGGGGCATCCATCTTGATTTTCCACCATTCAAATCAAAGTAACCAAACTGAGGCTGGAAAGGAAAATACATGTAGTCTGTTTCCTTTTATCAAAATGTGAAGTTGTATTACCATTGCCATACAGGGTATACAGGGAACAAGACAAACATTGCAGCATTATGATAAAGCTCTGTAGTTGACTGTCAGTGCAAGTACAAAATAATGTACTGAGTGTGATGTTGCTAAGAGATTGAAAATACAACCCTAAACTAACTAGGCAAATGACCATCTTGAAGTGAATTATCTGACACCATGGCCAAAAGTTCTAGATCCGCTAACCCATACAAATTGTAGGCAGTATTAGAGCTGGGGAATAATTCGACATTTTGAACAGAGTACTCTGTCCATCTTCAGGAGACGGACAGAGTACTCTTTTCGAAATGTCCAGTTATTCCCCGGTTCTTCTCAGAACCACACATACTCAAGAAAGAGATTGATCCATGGTGTAACCGCAATCGTTTTACTCATATAGTTCTCTCACCATGAAAACCTTCAAGTCTTATCAGTATTAGAGCTGTTTGCACCATGCACAGTGAGTCAGCCGTTTTGACACTCCCAGAATGTATAGTGATGTCTAGTGTGAGCTGGCTTTTAAAAAGCGAATGATCTCGTGAAGTGGCTTGAAGTTTCATCTTTTACAAAAAGATCTGGAAAGGTTGGAATGTCAAGTATAAAATTGTCTCTCCTTTGAAGAAAGGGTATCAGAAAATTTGGCTATTTTTTCAGGATTTTTGAACTAATTCCTTTTCCAGCCATTCAGTTGTAACCTGTTAAAAAATGTACTTTTTTCCTACATTGGCAATGAAAAAAAAAACTGTTGGTTGATTCCGAGAAAAGGGGATGAGTATGCCACATCAGCCATTTTACATGAAAACACGTCTGATGTGGCATGGATGTCACATTTGCATATCTATATGTAAATAAGGCCAGTTTATTTGGAGGAAGTTTGCATTCCAATTTCCATGAGTTAAAAGTACAACAACTCAATTATTATACATCCATGTGCATCCTACACAAATGTGCACTTGCAACTAGTGTTGCATGTCACCGATGCAAACATCCCCCTGTGATTTTTCACACATGTATCTGTATGATTTCCACACGGAACTGTTTGCACGTACGCGTACTATAATAAGTCAGGACTTGATACGGTAAGATTATGTTTGCCAGCATACCACTGAAAGTTACATGTATGCATATTACCAAGCTAACGTTGGGATTGGACAAGTTTAATGACCCACTCTTTGTTGCGGAGACAATCCATCTGGCATTTTTTTCTTGGCTGCTTTGCATATTTCCATGGCAACCATGTTCAGATGAAAAGGGGTGCCTTCCTTTACTCTCCCTCCCTCCCATCACCTGAAGGGGTGGGGGGAGTTGTAAGCCTATACCCATCATGGTGCTACGGCCTGCCAAATGTGATGTTTATTTATGTTGACGAGAAATGGAAGGGCACAGTCATGAGGCATTTCCTGCTGAAGTTGTGTCTGTTTTCTCCACACTAATGCAGCTGTGTGGTAACATGTTACAGTCGTGCTGTGGAATGAGTCTGTTGACAGTTCAATACATGTGGTGAATTTATCGGGGAAGAGGTTGAGGGATTTGCTAATGGAATGATTCGAAATGTACCGTACCGGTACGTTGCACAAGGTTCCAATGCTCAAGCCATAAAGACTGCATTTCAAATGTGGTGACATACGACCATTTCAAATATCTGCTTTTCCCCTTCAGGAACAGATAAATTATTTTTAAAAATGAAAAAAAAAGCTCCAAATATGGGATTACGATGCTTTTCTGTACAGAGTTAAAGTCCATGCAAATATACAAATGCATGAAGGCTTCTGGAAAACAAAAGTGCATGTGTGCCAGCCATTGTTTCACTATTCCTGTTTCAATAGGGACATGGAACATAAAAATCACTTGTACCTTCCGGCTAGGAATACATGTTGTTGACAATGGAAGCTACATGTCAGGAAGAAAAGAAAAGTGATGAATCCTGAAGGATTTCCTGGATATTTGAATAGGGACTCTCCCTGGCAGATAAGTTTCCCTTTGCTCAGACAAGCACGTGTAGTCAGATGCCCTGATACATTGAAAACCCCTGTCCCGCCAACCTTCCGGCAATGACATTGACATGTCATAGTTTTTTGTACCCTTGGAAAAAGCTTGCCAACAGAGCATCAGTATATGGTTGTAAAAGAAAAAGAACATCATTTTTAGTCAAGATGGCTGTGTTAACTTTAACCCCGGTACATGTATACTGCATCCCACTTTGACGTGTCATGTACCTGTAATTACTATCTAGTGAAATAGGATTTGATTTGTACGCTTGAAAAACAGACACGTTTAACCCCTTCGCGCCGGGACGCGGCTAGAGCAGCCGTAAACATTGAGATCCTCAGCCCACTTTTCAGCTATTATTCTCAGCCCATGCTCGAGCAAACACGGTAAAAGAAGGCAGACCCTGGTTCTTGTGTATATGGTAATTGGCCTTTGTGTGTAGCCCAGAAATGAAAAGACCAAATTTGCATCATAATCACCAGCTTCACAATAGTCCCCACTTTGAAAAGAGGCAACGGGAAGGTGGAAACATGAGTAGAGCCACATGCCACCGAACAATCAGCCTTTTCACCGCGTAATTCAGAGCGTGCACTGCACGCTGGGCCACAAACCGAGAATTTGCAGTTTGGCTGGTGGCCTTCGTGGCCAAGCAAGGCCGGAATTCTTGGTGTCGGCTTTCGGAAAGAAATTCTCGTCGTTCAGGGGTTAACGTGTATGTCAAATGTACCATTTTTGTGTACATCCTAATTTATTTTTTTCTAAATAGTTTTTGTCTTCGTTCTTCACCTCCATGCCTACTTGAACACAGACATGTAAATGTAGTTTTAATTCCTAGTGGTTCACAGCGCAGCCCATATTTATTTTGATGCATGTCAAAATGCCTGTATTGTTGACGTATTGTTTTTAAATGCTCTATGCAAGCTGTCTTGGTGCAGTGTAGACTTTAACCCAAAGATGTGTTTGTTTTTTTTTAATTTAACTTCCTGATTTTTGGTTAATAGCTTGTAAGAGAGAGTGAGCAAATGAAGCTGATGAAGATTTCAGCAACAAGAAGGTTGTAATGTGTTTTACACATGTACAATTGCCTGCCATGTTTTATCCTGGATTCTTCAATGTGTCATTTGAGAGAGGTTTTAAGATTTAACAAGAAGGGGCTTTAAACTTGGCAAGGAACATTCATGTTGAGTATCCCACGGATGATTTATCATCAGCACAAAACATACCACCGATCAATAAGGATCTCATGACGTAGACAGCGGTTTACCGCATCCGGGGAAACTTTCATACCACAGTCATACAGATCATGTCACACTGATTTACAACTTGGCATGATCAGTCTGGAGTATTACCATATTTGGACGGGGGTATTACGTCACAAATCTCTTGCAATCTGACCATTCACCAGGCCTTGTTCTGGCGTGCAGACCACAACAGATTGTGGGTGTTCCCATATTAATTAAGGGGTGCTTGTCTTA